CCAAGTATTTTTTTGATTTCGACTGTTTAATGAACTGTTCTCTGGTACTCATTAGAGTCGGTAAAGGACCTTCGGTTAATGTTATCATCATTATCATCAATAGACCCGAATAGTCCAATGCTGGACATAGGCCTTGCCTTAGAAAGGAGGTCTTGGCCTACTACAAAACGCTTGCCAGACGGGCTGGTATAGGGTTTGTGTCAAGTTTTCCTTCTCTTTGCAGTGCTGTTATCATGTGTAGTTTGCTACCTTAGTCGGCTCTTACGACACCCAAGGGATGAATGATCTGTATTCGTAGATTTGTTACTTTGAGGGTTTCTCACACCTGTTAAGTGATCTTTAGCCCTTTTCAACAATAATAGATATACGGCAGGCACTTGAAAATGTTAGGGTTAGTATATCTTAAGCAGAAATATTGTTCTAATCATTATCATAATAAAGGAGGTTCCTGGTTGGTCAGAAGACACCATAGCAGAAATTGTAGCCGATCAACTTGGTACTCGACGAAAATCACCATCACTCAATATACTGGTAGCAGATATAGGAATATACAGGCACAAATATTTAACCAGAACTTTTAAAAGTGGGATTCTGTTATTAGCGGCAGTCGTATTCAATGCTGGCCTGAGAGCAGTCTTCATTATTTAGGCAGTTTTAATACATGTCAACAACGCGATATACTAATATTATTGTTATTATTACCAATAGAAAATCAATCGTCTAAGACACTCACTAAAGTTTAGATATACACTACTGGTATTACTGAACTTCCAGTAAACACAGAGGTAAATAAATATTTGGACATGTGACACACAACGCCATCTAGTTTCAAACTAAGCAGAGCTTGTACCATGAAAGTTAGATAGACTTATAGAATCCATAATACATACATATTATACACAGAAAACACCCAAACTCCGAAACAAATATTTGCATATCATACAAACATTTTGTCCGACCCGTTAACGAACCCGAAACTCGGTGAAAGGTGCTATATATCGCTGGATGTGGAAATCGATCAATCGCCTTCCACACCTCGACAATGTTGATGAGCCAGTTGTTTAAGTTCTGTTATTAATAATACCAGCGCTAGAATCAGAAGATGCATTGTTTCCGGCTATGAATCCCACAGCAGCATGATCCATTCGCATTAAGAAAATAGTGACGCATCGGTCAAGCTCCACCCCTTGACCAATTACTTCTAAGAAATTACTGTTTCGTACGAAAGTTTGGAACCTGATTGGTCTGGATGTAGGGTTTGATCTATGTGTCACTATTTTCTAAACGAGCTGCTAACCCCAGGATAGAATATGTACTAATTCAGCTAAATTAGCTGCGAGAATTGAGCACAGAATTCTTTATTATCATCATTCGCTGTCCCAATTTTTTTTTCCGGGGTCGACACATGTTCGAGTAATTTCCTTTTTTGCCTACCCGCATGCCAGAGGTCTGATATTCATTTAATCAACGCGTGTGACAAAGAGGAATATATAACTTTCGAGAAATCGATGTTTTAATGGTAAAGGGGGCAAATGAGTATTGACCCAATTCTGCTATTTTTATATTGTATCAATAGACTGTCGGTGGAATGTCCTCTGAATAGTATTGCACTTTTCGTATTCTATTAACTATGTAAGACTAATAGCCTACCCGATGACTTGTCACTGAACAGCCACTGATACAAATGTCGCTGATACCCTATTACAAAGGTTTTTTGCTTAATGGTACATTTTAAATTTGTAAGGAAACGATGTATTTAATTTTCCAGACAAGGCAATGTTGTTGATATCACTATTGATGAGCCATTGTCACTACCTACATCCACAGTCTATTGACACTGTGAACTTATAATAATAATATATCTCACACATCTCACTCACGGCCGACTGATCCCAAACTAGGCAGAGCCTGTACTATGTAACCAGACTGCTGATAAACATACATATTTTTAAATCGATACATATAATAGATAAATTAACACCCAGACACAGAACAAATGACCGTGCTCATCACACAATATTTGTCCTGGGTGGGAATCGAACCCACAACCTCCGGTTTAGCAGTCAGGGTCACTAACCACTACACCAACAGGCCCGTCAACTTATGTTAGTAGAATACCGATATTTTGACCGATGTCAATGGCATCTTAATAGCATGTCAATGGGATGGCAGTGGCTTGTACTACGTTGTACGTGTACATGTGTTGTTTTATCCCAGAAATCATCCTTTAAGTGGGTGAAAAGGGGGCTGAGGGTTTGTAACGGGGAATTAATAAACGCTGAATCCATTTAGATGAAATTTGTTATGGAGATAGTTTAAAAAGCCAATACTACTTCAGGAGGATATAATTGACCAATAACATATAATAAATGGAGTGTAAACCAAATCGTTTATTCACAAAAACCCCCGAATAGTTACAAAAATATACAAAATAGAACAGAAATCTTGGCACCATTCGTACTTGCACATAACATAAAAGGAATATAAGGGTTGGCGCATACTTGCACAGGAGCGGTTCGGCGATTAATTCGATCACACTTGGATTTAAAAATGGACAACCAACATTGTGATTATTATCTTTTTTATTTTATCTATTATTTCTACTGAAATCAAATACACAGGAACTTTCACGAGTTCTTCGGATAGACGTAACAAAAAACTACCACTTTAGTAGAATCTGATACTGGGTCTACATTGATTCGAACAAATTTGAAATAAATAAATTCTTTATTGTCTTACTTAGCATATTAATCGAGCCATTAGTGATAATTATTATTTAGTTTTCAACTTTTAAAATCAAATAAAATAAAAATAATGAAAGTACATACCTTTGATTACAATACTGTGATTTTATAGTCATTTTGGAATAGAAAGGAAACTTAAGGTAATTGAAAAGAAATTATAAAGGATATAAAAAAAGTGTGAGTTAGAAAATTAGATTAGAAAGATCATTCGACTTAAACAGTAGTAGATCAAAGAGCGAACAGAGCGACTTCAAAAAAAAATTGTTAACATAAAATTTAAGATTCCAAAAAGACTATAAAATTACCGCGTACGTGAATTGTTAATACACATCGTGATTTGCATACAATACATATTAGATGAGTATGATATATTGGCATTCCAATAATAAGGCAAATCAAGGCATTTCTGTAAAATATTTTGAATAAAATCTTGTTTATCTTTGCTCACAAATAAACTACGAAACATTGGTTCATGAAACTTAATCACGGTGTTATTTATAAGACACTCATTTAATTACCCTACATTTCACCAATTTGGACATCTCTACATAAGACAGCCAAATAAAAAATGACAAAAAAAGAACAAAATGAATAATCGATTGTGAACGATTTATTCGCCCGCCCACGGGCCGGTGTGCACCGCCCCTAATGACAACTCCGTAAATATAATATTTGTAATAATGTATATATATATATAGTATTTACAAATGACTCGTGTGATGATTACATGTCGCTTAAGACCACGCTTCTATGACGGCTATAAAATATTCTCTTTTTAAAACCAACTCGCGTCGGTGTTACCTGCAACAAAAATATATTTAAATAAATTACAGTTTCATTTTAAATTTTCATCATCATTAACAGCCTTTAATGGCCTACTGCTGGACATGGGCCTCTCCTTAGACAGACGGAATGGTGTAGGGTTTGTGTCAAGTTTTCCTTCTCTTTACAGAGCTGTTGTCCTGCATAGTTTGTTCCCTTAGTCGGCTCTTACGACACCCTCGGGATGAATAGGGGTGGTGATACTCCGTATTCTTAATTCGTCAACATACGGACAACTTTTTTTAAAGAGTAATGTTATTTTTAGCTTCCTATTTTATACAAAACCCAGCAGAGGTTACATTAGCAGGTCGTAAGCTAGTCAAACCTATATACCTAAAGCGTGTATAGATTAATTTCTTTTTTTGGGATAGGGAGGCAAACAAGCAGACCTGTCAACTGATAGCAAGTGAGTACCGCCGCCCATGAACACCTACAACTTAACACCCAGACTCAGAACAACAATTAGTGGATCACACAAAGTGTCGTCCCATGTGGGGATCGAACCCACAACAATCAGCGTAGTAGTGAGCGGCGTGGCGACCACTTAAACCACTATGCCATCCGTGCAGTTAAATATATTTAAAAATGTAATTTATGTTTATTTAATAAAGAGAATAATAATAATATTTCAGACATCTGACTCACAACGCCATCTAGTTTCAAACTAAGAAGAGTTTGTACTATGAAAACTAGATTAACTGATGGAATACTTTTATACTTTTTTTTTAATACAATAATTATAATATTATTCTAACACATCTCACACACGGCCGTGTGATCTCAAACTAGGCAGAGCCTGTACTATGGTAACCAGACTGCTGATAAACATACGTATTTACAGACACAGAACAAACGATCGAGTTTATCACACAATTTTGGTCCTGGACGGGAATCGAACCCACGACCTCTGGCTTAGCAGGATCACTAAAGACTAGACCAACAGACTCGTCAATAGTTCAACACCGGTTTCTTGTGTGGTGATGTGATAAAGATGAAGGGGTCGGAGGAGTGATGAGAGATCATTGCTGCTTATCTGCGGACTGCTATTACTTAAATATAGTATTAATTTTATTATATTGTCTACATTGACGGGCCTGTTGGTCTAGTGGTTGGTGACCCTGACTGCTAATCCGGAGGTCGTGGGTTCGATTCCCACCCAGGATAAATATTTGTGTGATGAGCACGATCGTTTGTTTTGTGTCTGGGTGTAATTTATCTATAATATGTATGTATTTAGAAATATATAAGTATGGTTATTAGTGGTCTGGTGAGTACAGGTTCTGCCTAGTTTGGAATCAGACAGCCGTGTGTGTGATGTGTAAGGTTATTTATTTATTTATTTTAGAACTATATGTCACAGTGACAATTGAATTTGAACAATCGTAACCAGGTCTCGATGGGCTTAGACGAAGGGAACGTAGATCGTGGTGTCACCTATGTGGGCCTGCAGGCGGGCGAGTGCAGGTCGCGGTCGGCGCCGCCCGCGAAGCTGATGTTGAGCAACATCGCCTCGAACGGGTCGCTGCGCATGCGCTGCTGGTTGGCCATAGCCGCCGACCCGCTGTCGCGGATCACCCGCGACTCCTCCTGACCGTCCTGACACAGAACAACACCACATCATTAGAGACATGCTTCCTCAAGATGCTGATTGATAAAATTGTATCCAGTCTAACTGATTTGGGTATGGCATGTACATGATTTGGGTTCAGCGACCTATGCGCTACTAAAATGTGAAGTAGAAATTCAAGTCCATTGAAATGTTAATTTTTTCTTTGGGTTAACATGTATTTGTCAGAGGACGCAATTTTACTTTTTAATTTGGATATCTTAATGTTAAAATGAGAACCCTAAAATCCATTTGAACCCCTTTTTCCAAGATGGCGACCTAGGGACAAGGGACAACCCCACAGACTTGGATAAAATCGTGTTCTCTGACAAATGTAACCCCAAAAGTAACTTTTCAATAGACTATTCATTGCCTAGAACACCTTTTTTTTTTTGTGCGGAAATCCCCTCGGATACCACCTGTCGGTGGCATGTCGGACTCGAACCGACTAAAACCGCACGCCGTCTCGGGTACTAATAGCCGGGGAACCAGGTATACCCTAGAAAGGAAGTCCCTGGTGGGTTTAACCAACATTAGCGTTTATCTGTCACCATCAGAAACATCATCCAAGTTACATCACAAACTTCTGCAATGCTTGTCCATGAACATAGTTTTATACATAGTTATAAAATTGTAAAACAAAATCGGAAAGTATTTATAGGTACTGCATGGATATCAAATTGGTATTCCAATTCCAAGTAGAATAGCAAATTTATGAAAAATTCTTAATACTTTTTAAAATGAAAGATACCTCAGGTCGCGGGCTCCAGAGTCTGACGACCGTCTCGATGCCACTGGTGGCCAACAGGAACATGGAGGGGTGCAGCTGTATACAGTTGAGTATGGATTCGTCTCCACGCAAACACCTGATGATGTTGCCAGACTTCCGACACCAGATGAACATACTGCCGTCATCAGAACTGGAAGAACAATACAACAACATACAGATATAATACAACATCAGATATTTTTTTTATTTTTTATTTATTCATCATCAACAGCCTTTACTAGTCCACTGCTGGACATTGTACATTGTACATTACTTCCATTATAAAACAGTGTCATATGAAAAATGAATAACAAAAACTATATTCCAAAAAATTTAAAAAAAAAAGTTCATGATAAAAGAATAAACTAATTCTAAACAGGTTAACATTTTTTTCTTTACTGGCAAGTTACATTAAATATAGTGAAAAAAATATTCATATTTAGAACTCGATATTTTCTTAAAGCGATTAAAAAGTATTTTCTTTTTATTTGAGTTACAGACATGTCTTTATTTACTTTTTAGTACTAGCCACTTGTATTAAAAATATATTTAACTCATCTTTGAAACTTTTCACTCTCAAGTTAATTTTCTAAGTTTAGTTTTCAGACCACTGGCCTAAGATATTAAAAAATTCATGGACGGCTTAGTGGTTTAAACGGTCACCTCGCGGCTTTCTCCGGCACAGCACTTTAATCCGCAAATTGTTGTTCTGAGTCAGGGTGTTTTATGGGTCCATTTCATATGTTTATACACCTTCATGTGATAGCATAAATACCTTACTTTTAACCCTTAATAATTTACTTTCATCGCTTACTAATTTTAAAACTGTGGTCATAACTGGTGACTTAAACATAGACATCAAACCTAATACTTTAGACGCACGCTCACACGAATATTTAAATTGCCTCGCTTCAAACGGTTTACTACCAGCTCATACATGTCCAACTCGAGGTAAAAATTGTTTAGATCATATTATTCTAAAAACAAAATCCCCATCTTTCTCATTCATATATGAATCAACAGTCACAGACCACTACTCAACCTTGCTCTGTCTAAGTAACCAAAGTGTTCGAAACTTTGTGGCTTTCACCGCTGCTAAAATCGATTACAATGCACTTGATGAAACAATATCCAGCATGGATTTCAATTCCGTTTTCTCAATAACAAACCCTAACACAGCGACAGATACAGTTATAAAATTATTGTCGTCAGCCATATCAAAACATACAGTTTATAAAAAAGTCCCAGCAATGAAAAAAATACTAAAACCCTGGATTACTCCCGGCCTACTGCGGTGCATAAAACATAGAGACGCGCTGCATAAAAAATTTAAGAAATCACCAACAAATGAAGTTTTACATCTAACATACAAAAGATACAGAAAGTTTTGCACAAGTACTTTAAAAAAAGCTAAGAGGTTTTATGATGCAGACCAAATAAACAAAGCCAGTCGCAATCCTAAATTACTATGGGATACTATCAAACAAATAACGAATACAACAAAAGTGAAAAATTCTTCAATTCAGTTACTGGACACCTCTACTTCACCCATTCAGTCATGTAACGACGTAAACCATTTCTTTGTCAACATCGGTAAAACACTTGCGGACAATATAACGAACCATCAACATCAACACCTAATCACCAAATCTCAAATCATTGCAAAACCGTTAGCATGTTCGTCCTTCGCTTTAAGCTATACTGACATTGCCGAGGTCATTTCAACGATAGACTCACTGCGTGCAAACGCCTCTACGGGTTGGGATGGCATCCCATCTTATATTTTGAAGAGATACTCTAACCTTCTGGCACCCATATTAAGCCACATATTTAATATTTGTTGTGACACAGCTGTCTTTCCAAATGCTCTTAAAAAGGCGATAATCCATCCTATCTTCAAGGGTGGTGACGGAACCCTACCGAACAACTATCGCCCCATTGCAGTATTGAGTGCATTATCAAAAATTTTCGAACGCTTAATAAATAAAAGACTAGTAGGCTACCTAGATCGGTATAATCTAATTTCATCCAACCAATTTGGTTTTCGCCAGAAGAAATCAACTTCTGACGCTATTCATGAGCTCACAAACTTTATCGTTCAAAGTATCAATCAAAACAAAAAGGTTCTAAGTATATTCTTAGACCTCGCAAAAGCGTTCGATACGGTTCCCATTGTCACACTCTTATCCAAACTTGAACAGATGGGTGTCAGAGGTGCACAACTACAGCTATTTGAGAGTTATCTAACAAATCGTTCGCAGATAGTGAAAATTGATGGCTATTATAGTGAGGAACTACCCATCTACTATGGAGTACCACAAGGTAGCATACTTGGCCCTACATTATTCCTCGTATTTATAAACGACCTCTGTAAGCTGAAAATTCCTAATGCAAGGACCGTGTGCTACGCAGATGACACGGCAATAACCTTTGTCGGTGATACATGGTCAGACCTGATGCACATGGCACAGTTTGGCTTTGATCTTGCATCGAAATGGCTCTATTCACATACCTTAACATTGAACACAGCCAAAACGAAATATATTACTTTCTCAAAAAGCTCAATATCACAACCAATAATACCACTAATTTTAAAAGCGCACTCTTGTCCCACCTCAGATCAACTCTCATGCGACTGTCCTACTTTATCCCCAGTTGATCACGTTAAATACCTAGGCGTAACACTAGACAAATGCTTAAACTTTAAGATTCATATAAGTGATCTCGTGGGTCGAGTCCGTAAATTGATTTACGTCTTTAAAACTCTTCGCCATATCGCAAACCAAACTATTATACGTAATGTGTATTACGCCGTCTGTTTATCAATTGTTACATACTGTATTTCCTGTTGGGGTGGCGCAGCGAAAACGTTCCTGAAGCCACTAGAAGTAGCCCATAGGGCCATATTGAAAGTTGCCACTTTTAGGCCCATAATGTTCGCGTCCACCTTACTGTACAATAAGTGTGATGTACTTAATGTTAGACAATTATACATACTACATGCAGTACTCACGCAACACAAAAATACTCCATTCATAAAAATGTCCAAACGTCGTACAGATAAAATATGTAACGTTCCAAAACCACGTGCTTCATTTACTAAAAGGTTTTTCTTTTACTTAGGTCCATACCTATACAATAAAATAAACTTAAGTTGCCCCATATACGGTTTGTCTCACTTTAAATGCAAAAATACACTCAGGTCATTTCTCCAAAACAAATCTTATGATGAAACCGAGGAATTCTTGCCATAAAATCTTAACATATTATTTTAATTAATTAATTTAAATCTAATTTAATTAATTTAAATCTATGTACATGCAATGTCTGCCAATATTTATTCAACTATATATATTTAAAATACACACTTACAATCACACCAACCACATTAAATTTAAATATAATATACAAGTACCTATTCAATCTCAAAAAACAAATCCAAACAGACTATTCAAACACACACATACACGCACGCACGCACGTGCCCATCCTCGTATGTAATATATTATATTATATATATACACACTCACTAACACATACATTCACACTTACACTCATATCCTGCATGAAATTCTTATGTAAATTAATACTAAGCTCAAATTGTAGTCTTTAAATGTTCTCAACTTTTATTTCATCACTTGTTTTAAATAAATAATTGTATTTACCGATTGCATATTCCAAAGGGGACAGGACTGTTATTCCTTACTACAGGTTACTGCGTAACCTATCAAGGGTAACAGAACTCCACCCACAAGATTGTATCTATATATATGTAATTGAAATTAGAACTAAGTCACAAGCCTTTGTACTACAATCACCTTTTTACCAATAAAAATTATTATTATTATAAAAACCCTTGGGTCACAGGATATATTGGGAGCTGTCTTTTGTCTACCTTTATGCAAGTGTGATTATATCTAATATATAAAATTCTCGTGTCACGGTGTGCGTGGTTGAACTCCTCCGAAACGGCTCTACCGATTTTCGTGAAATTTTGGGTACATATGGGCCAACATTATTTTTAATACACCTATTTTTTTTGTTTTTTAAATAATGTATATGGCAAAATAACGTTTGCCGGGTCAGCTAGTAAAAATATAAAAAAAAAATAGATTTACCCAGCCGCAATATAATTGGAATCAGGCCCAAGGAAATTGGCTTCTTTAATGTCAGTGGTAGTATTGCAGTGGCCGAGGAACCGCTGCGAGTAGTCCAGAGCCGAGGTCCGGAGTTGGCGCTCCAACAGACTGGTGGGCTGGTTCTCCTCTGTGTCACCAGCTGCTGGAATCGAAGATCAATGTCGGATAGAAGTAGGAGGTTTTAGGTAAATCGATCAATTAAAAATTCAATCAAAGCATCAAATTAATTATGTCATTTAACTGCGTCGGTAATAGTCCATTATAGTTATGACAATTACAATCTTACTTATAATTAGCGATTAATTAATGAAATTGGACAATCTTTTTCTTTTTTTTTTAAAGATAACGCCCGCATTAGGAATATATTCCTGTGTCGCGGGGGACTTTACAAACATACATGAAACGGACACAAAGAACACCCAGACTCTGAACAACAATTTGTGGATCACACAAAGTGTCGTCCCATGTGGGGGTCGAACCCACAACACTCGGCGTAGTAGTAAGCGGCGTGGCGACCACTTAAACCACTACACCATCCGTGCAGTCAAACAAAACAATCACAATTTATCAACTGTTCATTATTAATTGTACTGTGATCCCTTGCATTGTAATAAAATGTGGACATTTCCATAAAAAATGTATTAAAATTCAAAATTTGGTTAAATATGTTTATTTAAATACCTGTCTGTTTTATTTAATTTATGTTACAGCTCTTGTACATTATACCTCCTAAACAGATGGATCGATTTTAATTTAGATTTATTCATTTAAAAGGTGACTTGATACAGTGTTTTAACTATTATTCAAGAAAATCCGTTCAGATTTTCGAAGACCATCAACTTGTTGAGTCTCGGGTTATTTAATTTTTTTATTTATTTTTGTTTCGTTTAGTAGTTGCTCACGAACTTCAGTATTACATCCTTACTATTTCAATATTATAATTATCTGTTATTACTTTGTTAGTTTTTCTATCTTTTCTCTATCAGTGTGGCAACGTGATAGCTCACTGTCCGTAAAAGTCACTGGTGTTGGTAGAACACTAGCGCCACTTCCTCGAGGTGGATTTAGGCTGAGGTAAAGACCTTTTTTTGTCACTTGCAGTGATGTTTTTTTCCTATATATGTTATTGCATTATGTTGTGTGAAACATCATCTGTATGAGTATTAGAATAAATATTGTTCTTTCTATTATCAACAAAAACAGATTTATAGTTTTGGAACGAAGTTTCTTATCGCGCGTTGTGAAAGGGGGCTAGACGGAAAAAATTCTTACGAAAATTGGTCACGACACTTTTTATTTTAAATTCAGCGCCATCTATCGAATAGTAAAATTAAAATTTATGTTCTTAGGTTGAGCAAAAAATATTGTATTCGACATCATTTCTCAAGGAGATTTTACCAATGTATAAATTGTTTTAATTAGAAATCAACTGAAAAATATGTAGGTAATAGCCGCTATCATAGATGGCGTTGTAATTAAAATCGTGTCTAATCAGTTTTACTCGATCGTAACAACTTCGTTCCTATCGGGTGTCCCACGACACCACACGGCTTTTTTTTTTACTTTTGTTATTAACAAGATTATAAAGAATTAATTTGGGACTGAAAGATAAATAAATTATATTACCTTCATCAGGTTGCGTTTCCATACTCTCTAAGGCCACATTGATATCTTTTTGCAACAGAAACACGGCGTGACTGTTGGCGTGTCTCGGGAACTTGTCCTTGAAGTACAGCAGGCACTCGTGGGCTTCCCTCGCCTTCTTCAGGTCCATCAGGCCCTTGGCGAGGCGGAAGTGAGACTTGACGTGGGTCGAGTCCAATTTTATTGCTTTGTAGCAGTCTTTTATTGCGGCGTACGTGTCTCCTGACCTGGTACGACACATAAATAGCATGACAATGTGTTTTAGCCTGAGTGACGTGATCCTGATGGAGCAATTGTTTTTTAATAATTCGAGACATCTCACACACGCCCTTCTAATTCCAAATTAGGCAATACCTGTGTTATGGTAATCAGACTGTTGATAAACATGCTATATATATATCTTAATACATACATTTTATAGTTAACTGTCACATACAGACACAGAACAAACGATCATACTCATCACACAATAGGGTAGTTGACTGTATCATAAATAATTCACAATGTCCGCCTCATTAAAACAAATATCACAAAACATCTCGGAAAATACAATTATTCTAGATTTTTATGACTATCACGAATTTAAATCCAATAAACATTGAAATATGTTCTTCAATTGAGTGGTCTAAGATAGTGACGTCATAAGTTGCTATTTAGTACATTTGTGATACAAAATTGACGTTTTGACAGATGATAAAAAGTAACTAATTTGACTAAGGTGTCAACTACACTATTATTTGTCCCCAGGGGGTGAGAATCGAACCCACGACCTCTGTCTCAGCAGACAGAATAGCTAACCACTAGACCAATAGGCCAGTTGATTGCTTATACTAAGTAATCCATACATTTAAACAAATATCAGTTCTCCACCGTAACATCCTTTCTTATCTGCTTAAATCGAAGAAAAGTCTGCCGCTGTGAGTAGAGCAGTCTTCAACTTCTCAAAAGACAAATTTAACAAAATTTAATGTTATTGATGCAGTAGTTGCAACAAATTTATGGGACTACACTACTTGTCGGTATAAAGTAAGGTATAACACAGCAGACAGTACAGGGAATGTAGGCTTTACAAAAATACATACCAGCCTCGTCTCATGAGCGAGGCGGCCCTGTTGGAGTAGAGCATGGCGCAGTCGGGACACGACGCGATCGCCTCGTTGTAGAACACCACTGCGTTCGAATAGTTGTTTTTGTTCACGAAATCGTTTGCCTAAAATGTACATTAAGTGAATGACAGTAGACATAAATATAAAATGAGAGAGGATAGATACAACCGAAACTGCTTTGTAATTCTTAGTACTCTTTAAAATACCGTATTTAACATGTCCGATGCTTTTGACTGTGTTGATCATAAAACTTTAAGAAGAAAAATATACTATCAAGGTATAACAATAACACAGTTTCAAATCTTATCACAATTTATTTGAATAATAGAAATAAAAAGTTGATGTCAATGAATATGAACTGTCCAAGTCAGTGTTGAAGAGGGGTGTTCCACAGGGGTTAATCCTTGGTCCGTGTGTATTATAACTTAAATCAATGACGGATTTTGATATCGGTGATATCAATGTGTAAATTATACAGCATGATTTCGCAAGAATTGAGCTTCTAAATAAATTGGCGTGACACAACAGTAACTATCGTCGTCGTGATGATTCTACGGACGAGAACCCATTAAAAAAGGAGTTATAGTGCAAAATCTAGTTATTAAGAGAATGTTTGGTGTAGATTATCTTTAATGCTTAGTTTAGTGATACTGAAGAGCAAATTATTTTTGTGTTTTCTGGGTGGTTAGTACATGATCTGGTATATGGGAAGTAAGACATTGAAGAGGGAGGGAAGGAGATGTCGCTTCGATTCAATCTCCTCTTCTCTTAGACAGAATAATTATTTACCATTTCCTTGAGTTGTCTGACTCTATCAGGTAACTGTGGCTGTGTCTCCACGGCCCCGTTGGTTCCGTTAGTGCCATTCTTGCCCTGTTGCTTACTTTCTCCCTCCCTATTGCCGTGGTTATGTTGAATAATGAAGCTTTCCACTAATACAGGTCTCCGAGCTGAGTTTATGTCGAAGAGATACACCTGAAAAAATAATACAAGATACTTGTTTTACTATTTATATATAAAGCTGGAGTGTATTTAGTAGTATGAATGTAAATGGCGTTATCGATATGTGACGTTATGTTTGCTTTCATAAGTTTCGGGGTTTCGTAAGTTTCTTGACGTCAAAATTTTAAGTTTTGAAACAGTAATAGTCTATACTAATATTATAAAGCTGAAGAGTTTGTTTGTTTGTTTGTTTGAACGCGCTAATCTCAGGAACTACTGGTCCGATTTGAAAAATTCTTTCAGTGTTAGATAGCCCATTTATCGAGGAAGGCTATAGGCTATATATCATCACGCTAAGACCAATAGGAGCGGAGCACCAATGAAGAATGTTTCAAAAACGGAGAAAATTTATTACTATTAAGAGACGCGCGGGTCAGGACAATTTTTTTTAAAGTGATTTTTACTTTAGTTTAGAGAGTTTTCGAACAACAGAATTAGCACAATTACCTCTAAAATTAGATGAAAATCTTCCAAAATATTCTGTTTTTTTTTATGGTTAAAATGGGCAAACGAGCAGACGGGTCACCTGATGGTAAGCAACTACCGCCGCCCATAGACTCCGGTAACCTCACTCACCTTGGGGGAGGCCTATGTCCAGCATTGGAAGTCTTTCGGCTGAGACGAGATGATATAAGATTGAACAAAAAGAAAGAGACTTTGTATATAATTTAACTTTAGAACTGTTTTTTTTTAATTTAGTTATTTCTAATAATTTAATACTTGAGGAAATTATTCTTCATCACGCTATGCACCTTGGGAGCGTAGCAGTGACTATATAAATGGATAAAATTGCGGATAACTTTCAAAAGCTCGACTTTTTTGGGTCTATTTTCACCATATAAATACAACTGCACAAATTATTTACCTGTTCTGATCCCAAGTTAACCAGCAGCTCGTTGCCGTCGTGACTGAACGCGACGTAAGTGGTCGCCTTTTTGGGAAATGTGTGTTCATTAGGCTCCATTGACAAGTGACCTGGAAATATTAAGATATAAATATTATACTCATACCTTAGTTTAAACTATCCTTATTAAGGCCTAGATAGATTAAATACATATATGTATAATGTATCTATACAAATAAATAAAATTGGAGTGTCTGTTTGTAATATTCAAATAACCGCTTTTTACTAAATGCATATGTATGTTTACACGGTGCATATGCCAAAATAACATTTTTTACAATTTTTGTCTGTCTGTCTGTCTGTTTGTTCCGGGTAATCTCTGGAACGGCTGGCCCGTTTTGGAAGGGACTTTCACTGGCAGATAGCTGATGACGTAAGGAGTAACTTAGGCTACTTCGCCCCGCGGCGTTGCCCGCGGTTATAACAACAAACGCGGGTAACACCGCGGGTCTCAGCTAGTATACTATAAATAGGCAATAACAGATAAATGTTTTTGATTTTTCGATGTTAATTTCGATTAATTTTATTTTAACAATATAATACTATTTTTTTTTTCTCAAACTATTTTTTGCCCGCCGCTTCCCTCGCGATAATTAAATTTCTTCTATTACTCAGGAACAGTACCGTTTTTTTTTAAACAAGTGCCTTATGGCCCTTTCTGAAACTCTCGACAGCGTAGATACAAAAATTTCATGATCAATTCATAATAATATAATTTCAGACATTTCACACACGGTCTTCTGATTCCAAACTAGGCAGAGCCTGTGGGATAGTCACCAGACTGCTGATAAACGTACTTATATATTTCTAAATCATCAATCATCAACAGCCTTTAATAGTCCACTGCTGGACATAAGCCTCTCCTTAGAAAGGAGGTTTTGGCCTACTATACCACGCTGGCCAGACGGGTTGGTTTAGGGTTTGTGTCAAGTTTTCCTTCTCTCTGCAGTGCTGTTGTTATGCGTAGTTTTTTCCCTTAGTCGGCTCTTACGACACCCACGGGATGAATAGGGGTGGTGACACTCTGTATTCCTAATCCGTCACCACACGGATAGTAGACTATTTCTAAATACATACATATTAAATAATTAAATAATTTGTCCTGGGTGTCCTTCGGCAGCCATCGAAACCGATGATACGTAACCAGTTGAGGAGGAAAAACTGATATTTGTACGCAACCAGATTCGACCCGATTTTCTTATTACGAAACCATGGTTACCTTTTTTAGTTTAAAAAAAAAAATCTAAATAAGTTAAACCACTTTAACGGGACAAACATAAATGACAGAAAGTATTAGACATTTGGCACAACAGGCGACCACCGGCTTAGCGGTCAGGTTCACTAACTACAAGACTATCAGCCCCGTTATTTAATGGTTTCCCAACACCATTCTTTTTTATACAAGGCACAGATAATGGTGGACATCCTTTACTAGTCCACTGCAGAACATGGGTCTCTCCTTAGAAAAGAGGTTGGTGTACATACCTGGTGCGAAGTAATGCACGGCACCCTTGGGTATATTGTTGTCGGGATCCCCGTGTCCCGCTCTGGAGCAGCGCAGGTTCTGTCTCTCCCAAATCTGACGCGACGTAGACGAGTTCACCTGCTCACCTCCATACTGCAAATCATCATGTATCTTATTTTATTTATGCTATTTTATTTATGCTATTCCATTATGTTTTAAAATAAAGACTTAGGCAGAAGCATATTAAAGAAGAAAAATGATGGTATAATCTAGGGTCTGAAACTCAGGCCTGGGGGTGACAGGTGAGGCCATCTGTCACCCTAGCAGAAGCAGGCCGGGGTGGCGGCGAGCGCGGTACGAAGCGCGCTCGCTTCCAGGGAGCACAGGGAACATGGGGTTCCCACACGGGCCCCCCCCGTGTGGGAACCCCATGTGTCTACTCGTCTGTAGATGACCCGAGGTATGTCGGGGCACCAGGGACTTCCTTTCTAGGGCATACCTGGTTCCCCGGCTATTAGTACCCGAGACGGCGTGCGGTTTTAGTCAGGTGGTATCCGAGGGGATTTCCGCACTTAAAAAAAAAAAAAAGAAAAACAAAAGGGTCTGAAACTGATAAGCGGTCACCTCGCCGTTTCCTACTGCGCTGAGTGTTGTGGGTTCGAACTCTAAATATGAAAACACTTTGTATGATCCGCGAATTGTTGTTCTGAGACTGGGTGTTCTTTGTGTCCGTTTCATGTATGTAATATCATCCTGTGAAGGACATTATATTCCTAGTGTTGCCGTTTTAATTATTTTTTATTTAAAAGCCAACAGTTTCACCTGTAACTTCGCCAGTTTGATCATCCTGGTGTCATACAGCCTGACATAGAAATCATTGGCACCAACAGCCAGCTGATAGGGGCGGCGAGGGTTGACAGCCACGCACTTGGCTTCAGCATAGCGTCCCAAGTGATTCAACAAGTTGACCAGCACGTTGGCCGAGTCGGGGCTGCATTTGTGTGAGGTTCGGAGATCATGTTGGCTGCACAAGAAAAAAAAAATATCTTTATTTAATTAAATGTATATGGACATGGGCAAAATGATTGTGCTGAGTTATTTAAGGTTCTTCTCAATGTCACTAGGAAGACGAATTAAAATGGTCAGGAGACTAAAGAAAATAAATATTTATATTATTATGTTTATTTTTTTCAGCCTGGTGAGAAAAAATCGAGCATTAAAAAAATATTCCCGGCCACTTTTAAATGTTTGCATAACTAGATAATTAGAAAAATTATTAGTAAATTGTATTAATTTAAATTATTTTCTAAGGAGAGGCCTATGTCCAGTAGTGGAGTATTAAGGGCTGTTGATGTGATTTATGATGTTGTAACTTAGTTTCCTTTCCATGTTATTTTAATTACGATATTCCATTAAAAAATAATATAAAACCACTTTCCTTTGTTCACCTCAAAAACTTAAATTTTTTTGAACAATAGGATACTCACATACAATTTAAACAATTTACTCAAAATACCTTTAACATTATGATTTTTTTTACGTATTTTAATATATACACATACACATATATATATATGAGAAAAAAAAAATTAGCCGATGAACAAGGAGCTCGTTGAATCTGCCATTTCACTCAGCAATAGCTCTTTCACTTTCGTCTTAAAAGAGTACCGATTTGTAGCCATCCTGACTTCGTGAGGAAGCGCATTCCATAAGAGGACAGCCTGGACGAAGAACGAAGAGCCGACAAACCCAGTGGTGTGAGAAGGACAGAGTAGAAGAAGATTGTTGGCCGAACGAAGGTTTCTGTTGTGGTTGTTGCATAACAATTGAAATTGTGTTGTTAAATAAGTAGGAGGGGAAGGGGAATTGAGGATAGTGTACATAGTTGTGAGAGCGCGCATTATCCTGCGTTGACGAATAGGTAACCATCTTAGTTGGGAACGAAAACCGGAGATATGGTCATACTTACGAAGATTAAAGATGAATCGAATGCAGTTATTGATGAGACGATCTAGCTTGTTGAGGAGATCTGCATTCAGGTCATAATAGCACACGTCACTGTAGTCGATTAAAGGGAAGATAAGAGATTGTTTTACGAATCCCTGTGAACTCTACCAATTTCAACATTATCATTAAAAATTAACACGTAACGTATTGTTTTATCCCACGTTGTACATCACTAGTCACCTGTGGTGTCGCATACAAGCCAGAGAGATTCATAGGCCTGGTACACAAACTATTACTTCAATCAATCAATCAATCATTTATTAATTGCTGAACATAATACACAGTCATGTAACATCTAAGGTGTCATTGGATGCAAAGTAAATCATGTTCGGCCGATTAAGGCATGCAAAATTAGTCCTTCAGTAACATTTCAATTAAAAGCATACAATTCACACCAATATCATGTCCACAAAATTGGCAAAATATGTCAAAGATACAAATACAAATTAAATAGGGTTTTAGTAGTTACTTACAGTATAAGTCCATCTTCCCCGGCAGACCATATGAGGTGTGGGTTGTCCGGAGCGACAGCGAGTCTCTTGACCCGGGCACAGTGGCACGTGCACTCTAGGAGCGGCGAACTGCCCCGGACGTTCCGCACGCGGACCGTTCCATCCGCCGCGCACGTAGCTATCACGTCCGGAGACAGAAACTGCGGAAATAAACAGTTAAAATATTATTTTTTGTTATGAGAAGACGAGTCACCTGATGCTAAGTGACCACCGCTGCAAATTGAGAACTGTAACTCAAGGTTCCCCCCAGAAATTCGATTCAATTCGAACCTGTCGGTTCCTGAGATTAGTGCGTTCAAACAAACAAACAAACTTCAGCTTTTTTTAATATAAGTATGGATTAGCCGATGCCCGCAACGTTCGAGTGGAATTTGAAAAGCGCTGCCTTGGTGGGTTCGATTCCCGGACTGGACAAAATTTTATAGGGTTTTTCTGAGAGAACAATAGCCTAAGTTACTCTTTATAGACAGCTACCTGGTAGCAAAATATCCTCATAATCGGTCCAGCTATTTTGAAGATTACCCGGAACAAACAGACAGACAGACAAGAATTATTTAAATTGGTTTTTGGGCATAGACCTGGCAAATAACCGTGTGAGCATGAAAAAACCCTATTAAATTGACATTACAAACAGACACTTAAATTTTATTTATTTTTATAGATTAAGTACAACGAATTTATTGTTATTTTGTACATATCATTATAAGTAAACTGTATACATTGATAGTCCAGGTTATACTGGCAAATAAAACGTTATTATGGCCTAAATCCGACCGCCAGGCGATTTATAATTAAACTTAATTACTTTTAAACTGTTTAAGTAATTTTATTTTGAAAGTATAGTCATACCTAAAACGTTAATAAATATCGATTCATGTTTTTATTTTACCACGGGACATTTAGGGGTACACTTGTCGAGAGAGTGGAGACCTCTGGAGACCAATTAGGCCATCACGCCGCGATTGAGGGGGAGGGCCTGATTAGGCATAGTGTCGATTCGGGGAGGACCTGAAATAACATGGTCCGGGTCTTCCCAGAGTAGGGCACCTGAGGCCGGCCGGCAGGGTGGTGTTTAGTGAAATCACCACATACGCCTGGCTCCTGAGTTCCCGAGGAGCAAGAGATCCGAAGGAATTTTCAACCACGATAACAAATAAAAAAAAAAGGGGGTACACTGTTATCATTGGGAAATAGGTACATAAAAATCATAAATAAAACATCGTGACCCGAATTGAATAAACATATTTGATGTTGACTTTGAAATGCTATCTGAATTTCAAATTGTCCAAAAATAGAACTGTATATGTTTTAACTGCCAATTACAGCTGTTAGCTGTTTATTAAAATTCTAGAACAGCATTGATTTGTAAACTATACCTACATAGTAATCTAAATTTGACAGCGGTTTCCCTCGCATTAATATTGATTTTGTCCCGAATTGGAGAACGTTTACATTATTTTAAAAGAATGACTACACTGCTTTTCAGAGAGCCAGTGGTATGGCCCATATGTCATCATCATCAACAGCCTTTAACAGTCCACTGCTGGACATAGGCCTTTCCTTAGAAAGGAGGTTTTGGCCTACTATACCACGCTGGCCAGACGGGTTGGTATAGGGTTTGTGTCAAGTTTTCCGTCTCTCTGCAGTGCTGGTGTCCTGCGTGTTTCGCTCCCTTAGTCGCCTCTTACGACACCCACGGGATGAATAGGGGTGGTGACACTCTGTATTCTTAATCCGTCACCACACGGAAATGGCCCATATGTGAAAAAGCATGATTCTCCAGCGGCATATACTGCTTCAATTAATACAAAACATGGGACAACACTTTGTGTGATCCACAAGTGTTTAGCTCGTCCGTGAGTCAAGAAGGACGAACCGCGAGTAAAATCGCTGCATTGACATTAAATCTCACATAGAACACTCACAATTACCGCATAAAAATTAAAACGTAAAAATATATTTTCAACAGTCATAACATAAGCATAGATAAACATTTCTTTATAAAGTTAAAGGCGTAAAGAACTAATAAGGTTGAATAAACAAATAACTACATAATATATGAGTCATGGGTTATCGGTTATGTAAATATTATGTACTAACAATACTGCCACTAAGGTAATGTACGCTCAAGTTGATTCCTAGGCCATAAGTTAATCGTCATAAATCATGTTAATAATTAATATTCAGATAACGCATTTCTATTGGAGGGTCATGGGCTATTTACATTACGATACGCCTCTTTGGAGCAGAGCAGTGATAAGTCTAGAAAACAATCTTTGGAAATAACCTAATAGAGTATTTGAAAAAATCATATTTACGAAGTACGTTAAATGTATTTGCGTGATGTAAATGCAATATGGGTAGTTTTAACAATCTCATGTGTTAAAAACATTATCTAAATATGAAATTTCACTTATTTGTGGGCCACCAGAAAGAGGAGAAGAATCATAATAGAATAATTATGCAATTATTTTGCAAAATTAATAGAAAGAACAATTAAGAGATAACTTTCACAGGGATCTTGTTGCGTCACGGTAACGCGTCGGTTCACAGAACACTCGTGGTTAAAGCCTCAGCCTCGGATATAGGAGGGGGGACAGACCGAGGCACCCTCCCTGGGCGCTAGCTTTAGTAATAAGAGTGCTGTACATCGGATTTTACAAAAAAAATGACTTTACCCATACTATGTGAAACGAATACAAAGTCTGCTACCCCATAGTACTATTTGGTGGTCTGTCCGATTAAACCCCATCGATTTGCTTTACGGGGTAACGCTCTCAGCTCAAGTAGTTTAAAGATTTGTCATAAAATAATCTTTGTAAACGGAAATAATCGAATAACTGAGTTTATTTTACGCTCGTTCTTGAAAGTAACAAATTCCTTGATATCCCAATGTAACTATATGGTTAAGGTAGCGTCTGTACCAGTTTAATTAAAACACCACTCGAAACAATATGTCGATTCGTCTCATTCGCCGTCACACACATGAAAAAGAATACCAGCAATACCAACACTTTAACTAACCAAACAGAATCGGCATTAAGTTTGGATTTATAAAAAAAAAGTTATCTACGAGTGTCATATTTTTTTGTAATCTTACTAATTGCGCCAACTGATTAGGTAACTCCCCAAAATACATTATTTTACAATAAATTTGGTTAAAGTTGGGTGACGTAAATATTTTGAATTTCAATGTTGGGCAAAAATCTAATAACATTTAATACAAAACTGAAACAGTTTTGTTTTATTTTGATACGTAATTTGTACGACCATTGTTTATGGGTACGTTACAGTTTCTGAGTTTTTATTTAAACTATTAATTTGAAAAATCCAGAGTACCATTATATATTTTATTTTTTTCTGAAAACTGTCATGATTTCGACCATCAGCCCTTGATCAACTGCACGGATGACTGCATGGAGGGCGTACTGGTTTAAGCGGTCGCCACGCCGCTTCCTGCTATTCTGAGTGTTGTGGGTTCAATCCCCACATGGGACAACACTTGTGTAAGTTTGTAAAGTCCCCCACAACAGGATATATTCCAAGTACGGTAGTGGTCTTTTAATAGAAGAATTACCGGCTTGACATTTGACACTGTGTATCAGTATACATAGTCGTACACAGTACAACAGCTACTTTAAATATTTTTTTACTTTTTATCATACATAGTTTAAGTATTTTAGCTTTCTACACTTCTAAATGTAGAACATTTAAACATATTCTAAATATGATATGTTTTTATACACCATATTTGTATAAAAGAAGAAAATTCTTTGTAGCCTACAAAGGCTGTTCATCACATATTAATATACACATCATCATCATCAACAGCCTTTAGTAGTTCACTGTTGGACATAGGCCTCACCTTAGTAAGGAGGTTTTGGCCTACTATAACACACTGGGCAGGTGGTCCACATATACACATAGACTACCTATATACTCAATACTCAGAGTATGTTATTGTATTTATGAGATAACTGCCTTTTGCTAGTAGCTTTCCATGGGAACCTACATTTAGGGTCACAGTCAAATGAGGAACTCAGGGACAATCTCAGTAAGGAATAATCAGTGAAAGAAATCTTTTTTTATATTATGAGATGTGTTCCACTATTTCAGCCTGATTATCACAGTGTGCACTGTTTTTTATCTATGTATATATAATATTGATCTATAAATACAGTGACATCTTTATAATGTGGCATGAGTTTGCAATTATGCTGCATGCATTATAAACATTTTAAATTCATTGGCATGATAATGTAATAAATGCTTGATAACATTTTATTAAGAAGTTTTACATATGTGTGTATTTCAGACATGTCTATTAGTTTATCCCTTTGTTGAGATCCTCAGTTAGGTCCAAAACTAGCCAAGTGGTCATGATTTACATAACTTTAATAAATATAAATACCAATTATTGTTTTTCTTAGCTTTATAACATCTAACATGAACAGATGCATTTATTAGTTTATTAATTACTTAAATCAATAAGTATAAAACATTGTTTTATGATAAATTATTATCATGTAATAATCATCAGTCATTAAATTAGTTCCTTGCACATCATTCTAATGATTTGCTAATGGTAATTAACCTTAGTCAACATTAAAACTGATCATTGGACCAAACAATAAATTTGCATACAACTTATTACTTTTCATTACTCACTTTTACAGAGAATATGTTCCCTGTGTGTCCTGTGGCTATGTTCAGAAGTTCTTTGTAACGGAAAGGATCCCACAATATCACATGCAGATCGTCCGACGCTGATGCCAGTATCCTTAAATCACATGAAATATTATGACATCATGTCATTAATTAAGTATACTTAATGGTTAATTTATGACACTTACGATCCGTCATGGCTCCATTCGAGACAGTTAACGCATCCCATATGCCCGTGAAGCTCCTTTTCAAGACCCAATCTGTCAATCATGGGCCTCGTCACCATGAGCCGAGCCTGAAATTTTCTGTCGATATCCCCACGCTCTCTGGCCGCGGCCAGGCCTATGGTGCCACTCGCCCATCCGGGTTCCTCTCTTCTACCCATTTCTACTAACTATCTACTCAAGATGTCTGATAAACCATCACATTCAGACGATTCATCAAACTAACTAAAGCTCAATCTATTAATAGCGTTTAACATCTCACTATACATTACTATTAAGTGCACGCGAATCTTTTGACGAAATTAATTGTTTGTTTAATGTTAATTACACAAGGAACAAATAAATACCATGAACAAAAAGCTTTATTCTCTGAAAGAAGATAATTCTTACGAAAATAAAAGTAGAGCTGTCAAACAGCTGTCACCGAGTTGCCAGCATTTTGTTTTTAGTAATGAGGGGTAGTCGCGAATACCGAAACAGTTGGCAAAATATTATGACCAGTTTTGTGATGAAATGTATTTACTTTTTAAGATTAGAAAACGGGTATAAAAATACAAGCATATGTTCTTTGTGTGAACGTTAATAAATCTCAAGTGTAAGTTAATAAAACTAAAGTTCGAATAAATGTTTGAACCTAAACATTTATTCCAAATATAGTCATTATTTTTTCAAAATTAAACAGGACTTTTATTTTGTAATATATAAATAATTTAGTTGCATTTTGAGTCTGAATTACAGTTTAGAAACATCCAACCATAATTAAAATCGATTTATCCTGGCATTATTTTGAGCAATAGGCCTTACTCTTATATTTATTGCCTATTGTTTTTATGACTTCTAAACTTCTACGCTCTATCGCACAATGATAGCAAAATTGTAAATATTGCTTATCGTCACATTTTAAAATTGTTTTTATTTTTTTAACTCTAATTAAACATCTATGGTATAAATAATTGAATCCTCTGAATAATTGAGATTGACACTAGACTCCCCTATATTTTTTTTAATTTGAAATACCAAGAACAAAAGAAACCCCCTAACAATTGTTGAACTGTAATATTTTGTTAATAAAACTACAAATAAAGTGAACATGTTAAATCATGTCAGAATAACATTGACACTCAAAAGAATTTCTGTGATCAGATTACTGATAGACCCATAAATTAGTTTGGTTAGATATATGAGTGACATTTATTGTTCAAAAGTTTTAATCTCAATTAGTCAATATCGTCACTTTTTGTTTCAATTTCTATAATACTAACTTATGATCATTTCTTTTTCTTATTTGAATGGGATATTTTTTTTTGCCTGAAACTAAATAAGTTCAGAGGAAAGTAGTAAATAACATGAAATATGAGTCCAAAATCCAACATCGTATAAATACATAAATGTCTGTTTTACTTTAAATCAGGTGAAAATTCGAGATAACCTAATTGGATTTTGAAAAATTTTTAAGCGGTATCCCTAAGTCCAGTCAATTGAGGAAAAAAAGTTTGATACATCACTAAACAATAATATTTCGTCTGTCAAAAGTGACACCTTTTTGTCACTAAATCATTACCATTATTACCCCTTTAGGGGTATATATGTTCTGTGCACTAAATAAAGCGAACTGTGTCCCGATTACAACATCAATAGGTGCTGTATTTAACATATATCTTAGTATATTCATTGAAGAACAGGTAAAATTATTTATTTACATAAAATGTTCACTATGCATATATATTTACTGTCAGTGATTTTCTCGCCAAAAATGTACTTCAAAAACTAATTTTGCTCATAAATTCTTAATTAACAAATTTTCTTACAGCTTTCAGTATGGGAGAACGCAAAGGCCAAAATTTATACTACCCCCCAGACTACGACCCTAAAGTGGGGGGGTTGAACAAGTTCCTCGGCACCCATGCGCTTCGAGAAAGAGCCAGGAAGATCCATATGGGGATTTTAATCATACGCTTTGAGATGCCCTATAATATCTGGTGTGATGGCTGCAATAACCACATAGGAATGGGGGTGAGGTACAACGCTGAGAAGACAAAGATAGGAATGTATTACACTACTCCAGTGTACCAGTTCAGGATGAAATGTCATTTATGCGATAATCATTTTGAAATCAAAACTGATCCAGGGGTGAGATATACAGTTTTTGCATTTTTTTTTAATTTTATTAATTCTCGTCATTACAATAATTCGTTGTTGCCTCAATTAAAAAAATATAAATACAAGACAAAACTAATTAAAACGAAAAAAAATATTCCTTGAGTTTATTAAGCTGCTAAGCTTCTTGTGCTGGTAAAACCATCATCATCATCATCAACAACCTCTTATTGTCTACTGCTGGACATAGTGCTCTCTGTGTGTATGTTTGCCTGAATGTAAAGTTCCAAAAATAACAAGCATTCATGCATGAGGTATAGGTTTAATTCAAGAAGGTTGAGTTTGATGAATATAGTGATGGCTATTATATATCTGTCTGTTAGGAGCTTTAGCCCATGTTCTGAACTGGAGGTGGGTTTTTTTTTCTACTTTTTTCCACAAAATGTCCCTTAGTTCAGAGTGCCATTTGGCATAGGCCTCCTCTAACTGCCTCTGCTATTCTCCTATCTGCGGCAACCCTTGCTCCTTGTGGTCCCACGGTTAGGTAGAAGTCATCTTTCCATCTTTAGGATTTTTACAGCCAGCCCTAGGGTACAACAGGGTCACTCACTTGCCCCACTTGTCAAGAAGCAAACATATGACCCAACAACTTAAGGTGGTCCATTTGGGTAAGAATGTTGGTGACCTTAGTTCTTTTTATCATAGTGGTGTTAGTAGTGGTACTACAGCAGACTTATTGCTAGTAAATTATACCATTGCTTTACTTGTAAATTTATTAATTTCCATTTAATTCCTGTTCCCTTTTCTTGACAATGTTTATGCATTATTTCCTAATAACCAGATAAATGGTATTACAATGCAAAAAATAAGAACAAACATAGATTTTCATGTGCAGTCTCCTGATTAAAAAAGAAAATATTTGATTGAAAGAAACTTTGAGTGTTGTGTAAAAAATAAATTAAACGTAAATTTTATATATTTAAAGTAGTTATTGAATACAGCGAATATAGAATATTGAATACAATCACTCGCGTGATTTTTGAACGTCCTTAAGGGTGAAATTACCTAGAATCCTTTCTTATGTGGAAGCTTACAACATTAAAAGCATCATCTGCCAAAATTTCAAGTTTGTAGCCCCCGTGGTTTAGGGTCTGGGTTGATGAATCAGTTATTCAGTCAGGGCAAGTAATTTTATATGTATAGATTGTAATTATTATTTATAATTTTTTCAGAACTTAGACTATGTAATAGTATCAGGAGCAAGACGTCAAGAAAACAGATGGGATCCAACCGAAAATGGCCAGATTGTACCAGAAACTAAGGAAACCCAGAAGAAACTCTTTGATGATGCTATGTTCCGATTGGAACACAAGACTGGGGATGAAGATGTAGCCAAGTTGGATAAGCCGAGGCTCGGCCGGTTGGTGGGGAGGAATGAGTCCGTGTGGAAGGATGATTATGAGGCTAATTGCTCTTTGAGAAGAAACTTTAGAGTAAGTCTAGTTCATCCTATTACTTTACTATGTCTTACTACTATTAAAATCATTTACTTATACCACATCAACAGCCTTTAATAGTCCACTGCTGGACATAGGTCTCTCCTTAGAAAGGAGGTTTCGGCCTACTATATTAAAAATCAGCAAAGCTACATTCTCTATTTCTAAAAAAAGGTTTTTAAAGTGAGACTTTTATTACGTCGCTTCAAAATTTCGTCCATCTTTCGTCCAGCGCCGCCATATTGGCCTTAGCTGTAATCCATACAGCAATATGGCGGCGCTCGCATCAGCTGACCGTGTAGCATTTATGTTCTCACTCATTCGTGCTCCGTGGTATTTGTTGGTTTTGTTCAGTGTATTGATATAAATGCTTTTGTTCACTTGATCGTGATGGACGCGATTTTTTTTTAAATCAAATTAAATTATTTATTGGAGTAACTAACACTCAGAGATGTTAGTAACAATTTGAACTTACAGCTATTTTAGTGTGTTTTATAAATTAAGGTTAAACTCATTGCCTCGCAGTAACAGGCGCGGCTGAAACCCCGATGTATTGGGTCATATATTTAATACCCTACCCATTAATACCCTAAAACCGAAATCCGAATTTTTTTAGTTAAATTCCTACGATGTTAAAAAAGATTTACTTACTTTTACATTCACAGAAAAGAAGAAAAGAACTAGAAGAATCCTCAGTGAATGACAGTCTACTTTTAGCTAAGTCTTCTTTAAACATCAATCTTCTGCCAGAGAATGAGGACGATAGGAATATGGCCTCTCTACTATCTCTAAGGCCTTCCAAAAGCATAGAAGAGTCACTAACGCACACTAGAAGCAGAATCCTGAATACTCCAGCTTTGGCCAGTTCCAGTCGTCTTTTGACTAGTTTTGGAGGATTAAAGAAGGAGGAGATTTTAAATAAAAGTGCACAGTTAACCAGAAATGCTCTAGGTATTACTATTAAGAGAAGTAAACCAGAAGTACTAAATGATAGTCCAGAAGATAAAAAGATTGCAGAGAATGGTACAATTAAAGATATCTGCCCAAATGAAAATGATAATAACATTAAGAAAGATATTAGTGATATTAAAGATGAAAAAGAAACCAAGGTTGAAGAAAAAGTTCATTTAAGTAGTCAGCTATCGTTAGTTGGTGATTACAGTTCTAGTGAAGAGAGTTCTTGAATTATGATTTACCTAACAGGTATCGTTTATTAAACTCTCCTGGTCAGAAATATAAAACACATTTATTTAATAAATACCCTTGTAGGGCTAACTGAGTCAGCTTGTGACCATGTTTAGCACGACCCAGTCAAAATGAATGTACAATTGAATTGCCTGACGTACGATATTACATTAATATCAGGTCAAATTAAGGTCACACTAAAAGTTTTTAGAAAATAATAAACGGAATTATATAGAAGACTCTTATTACTTTTACAGCTGAACTAAACTGAAGCAATGAGCCTTCTCTTCTTTAGGGATTTACGGGTTTTCCAAACGCAGAAACGGCATCTTCAGGTTTCATAAAACGAATTCCTCTAAGTTCATCTATAAGTTACAAGGTGCCAGGTTGGCACTGTAAGGAGGATGACTCACTAGCTCCACACCTTTGAGAGACAAATATTCGATAGTCCGTCTGGTGAAGCGACCTGTAGCGTTGTCGTGGTAGATGAGGATCCTGCTACTTGGGGCGACGCTGTCTTAAATTTTCCAAGATAACTGGTAGACAATGACTGACATACCAATCTGCTGTAACAGTTCTTTTATCTTCAAGAATGATTTCTGTGAGATGACCCGTCCGTTCAAAGAATGAGGCAATCATCTTTTTCCCTTGACTTCTGCCCTTCTTTACTTTATTCGGGAATTCTTGGAATAGAAACATCCATGGCGCAGATTGTCTTTTGTTTCGGATTCTTAACAATATTACAAGCTTTCATCACCTGTGCCAATGTCATTTACAGCATACCGTCATACTTTTCAAGCATTGAACCGTCACCAATGCAAACGACGCTTTTTGATCGTCCGCCAAATTATGAGGTATCCATTCAGTACAAAGCTTTCTGTCGCCTAAATGTTCATGGAAGACTTTTTGTACTTGCCTCATAATAACGTCTAAAGCTGCCCGAATCTGTTGATATGTCACCCTTCTATCAGCTTCTATCATTATAGATTTTGTGATGCACTTCCTTTCATAAACAAGATTTAAGATTAACTAGTAAGTTTAAAATGTGATTTTACTTCAAAAATGTAAAAATTGGCATCTGTCTTGAGCAAGAAATGGCGGATTAAAAGTTTCACAATTCAATGTGGCAACATAAAAGTTAAATGTTTCGGGTAAATATTGCAAAGATTTGAGCATATTACGCGTTTAAAACTTTCAAAATAGGAGCATAATTAACCCTATGGGTGCGAAGTAGGGCCATTTTACAGTAACATATTTATTTTAATGGCCATACCGTTTTTCCAGAGTAAAATTTTTGTTTAAATTTTTAATTTAAATTTAAATTTTTTCAACATTTATGTGCATTATAGCTAAAAAAATCCTTCAAAGATGTAATATTTTTAAAATAGGATTTTTTTTGGGTTCGGGAGTATTCTGAGTTTTCAAATTATTTAACATTGCAGTCTGCACATTCTCTGTAGAAAACACTGATCATTGTACCTGACTGAATACATTATTCATGAGTACGAAACTCATCTCTCGCGTAACTAATCGGAATGGTTAACTTGAAATCCTCGGTTCATAAAAAAATCTGATAGTACCTACTCAACAAAAAATAACATACACGTTGTTAGAATAAAACAATATATATTTATTTTTTAATTACGTTTTATTTTTCCCATTTAAAAAACATTCACATTGGTTTAATTTTCGATGTAAGCGTGTGTCTTACTGGTTGCGTCTATAGGTAATGTTCTGAGTTCGGCGGGATACCTAAACTCCATACAGTTGTCCAACCATAAAGATTAACATTCTTAGTTAATAAAAAGTCGAATGCATGAAACTAAGTTTAGTTCGTCCCTATGTTTAAAAAGAATATCATAGTGTTGTCTATTGGTCGTTGGACTACCGTATATGAAGCCATAAATAATATTAGGGAACTATTTCATTCACCAAGCATCAGCAATAAAGAAATCATTGAACTGCTTATGTATTCTCTCTCTCTCTATACCACAGTAGGTTACAAAACAGTGGAAACTTAAATCTGGTGTTAATATTATTCGATATCTTGACGAGAATTTTCACAGCTCAGTAATGTAGGGAGTTTAGATCTAATACAAATAATCATTGATTTTATAGGCCGCAAAAACAACGGTTTGCGGTCTTTACGGCTTTTTAAATCTATTGTTTTCATATGAAAAAAAAGTCAACGTTATCAATGACACTATTGTAGTAAAATGAAATCAGATAATAATTAAATAAAGACATAAAATGGTATTTAATACAGTAAACTGAATTTTTGACTTGCATATGCATCGCATGTACCAAGTAGGTACGAGAAAGTAATTAAGATACCTGTCGGAATGGATGCATACAGTCCATCACTATTGTGCATGACCATAATCAACATATCTGTTCCATAGATTTATTGTTAAAACGGCCTCAGATCTCATTAATTAACCGCTGATAAAAAAAACTGATGCTTGAAAAAACTTGTCCAGAAAGAACATACTTTTGTGCATACTTGGACAATCTGACTACAACTTTGATACACTCAACACGTACAAACAAATAATCTATCTACTTATATATTGACACCAAAGACATCCAAACTGTCACCCCTTACAGTGCTGCTCAGTAAAAATATTATCTCTACATATAAAAATGTTAAGTTGGTTTGTGTAAGCTGCAAAAAATCAAAAAGATCTAGGTACACCGATTGACCTCAAATTTTGATACTACGATAATTTTTTGTAAAAAAATCACGCTTCAAAGGTGGTTTTATCTATTTTTTGCAACCAAAATGTTCCACAGCGAAGTGTGGCAGGTTACAGTGAGTATAAAAGATTATATTTCGTGATAGTTTTTTACTATACCTTCATAGGGTGTATTACCTTAACCGTTTTAATTAAAATTTTAGTAAAATAAATGTAAAATAGAAAAAAAAAATTATTTATTTAAAATAATAATAATAATAACGCCATCTAGTTTCAAACTAAGCAGAGCTTGTCCTATGAAAGCTAGGTTGAATGATAGAATACCAAAATAACAAATTAAAAAGTGAATAATTAAATAGATATTCCTCTATTTCACATGTTTCATAGTTACAACTTACACAAAATAAGAGCGATTTAGCTTTACGAGAAAAAAATAATTGTAAATTGCTAAGACGTCTGCTGTGTTTGCAAATGGGATGTTCATACAGCTGACACACACAGCGACAGCGGTAAGGAACTTAGGGGCCAGCGATTGGACACTATTTTTTTGGACGCTTTACAGCTTTGACAATTTACCATTATTGCAGTCCAGAAACAAAACTCCAACTGTTTTTCGATGTTTTTAAAATTAATATATACTAGGTACCTATATTATATTTCCACTGAGCAGTTGGGTGAGCAGAATACTGGTAGGTTATATATAAATACCTACACTAACAGCAAATGATTAAACATTTATATGTAAACAGTTAACAGGCTTATTAACTAATGTTTGAATACACAACATATTATATAAATATGAAAAATATTCTCAACATTTTTTCCAATCAAGTGAGTATGACTAAATAGGCAATATAAATTGCACAGATTTTTTGATAATTTGCGCTAGAGGGCAGCATAAAGCCCCCTTTTATATTATTCATCTTTTGTTTAAGACAATTATTTTATATTTACATGACATTAGATTTTTTTTTTCAAATATATTCATAGCTTGTTTCGTAAACGAAGCGTTTATGATTACTTGATGGAAATACAGAATTTCTTAAATAAACCTACTTACACGATGCAAGAAGTATTTAGTATTAAAGTCAAACTAAAAAGAATAAAAAAAAGTGACTAATATAAACTTTTTTAATTCTTACCCTGTGTAAGTGTTTTTAAATTGTATCATGATCTTGACTATGGCGTCTAGAACCCGTTATGTTTTGCTGTCAGTATTTCCAGAATTAAAACTGACTGACGAATAACCTATCGTCAAAAACAGACTAACGGTTGCATGATATGGATTTGCCAAAAATCTGGTTATTTTTTTACATCATTCATCATCAATTTTGACTTTTGGAATTGAGTGACGTTTGCATGAGAACATGCAACATAAACGGGCTGAATTCACACCAGAATTTCAGTATAGTATTGGTAAACAGTCACTCATGCTGCGTCATTTACCCACCCCGCCCGCTGTCTGCCTCAACCTTAAGATATTTATTTATAGATAGGTATTTATTTATATATATATTTACGTTAGGTACGCCGATCCAGATAGCCTCTATATTCTTAAGTACTTACGGCAATTATCGTACCTAGTAGTATTTTACAAAATGTTGTGTTTTTTTTTAATCAAAGCTTAGGTGAATCTTAAAAGTAATTAAAATTAAAATTTTTTCTTAAAACAATAATTCAGAACTAAAATTAGTTTGTGGCATTACCAAAACCGTTACTTCCGAACCGATTAACCGTTTATTTTTTTAAATATGAACATATTTCAAATGAACCGTCCCATTTGATTTTTTGCAGTTTTTATGCATTTAATTTCCACGTTCCTAATGTGCAGATGAAACAATCGATGTTATTCCAGTTATTCATGGTACATATTAACTAGAAACTCATATAAGAAGTATTAAAACATTTTTATTCACAAAAAGGTACATAATAATTAAACTGACTAGATTTTGAGATCAAAATAATTGGTTTATAAAAACACAATTCTGTTGAATTATTGCCTTTTTGAGACCGACACGTGTTAGATGGCGATATGTCAGCAATAAAAAAATTAAATTAACGGATTTTGTACGTATTCGACATCTAATAACAATAAAATTTAAGGTTTTTTTTTCAATAATAAGTGTACTATGTAAGATTTTTTTTAAAGATTAGTTTGGCAGAAGAATGATGTCTTAGCTCTTGATGTAGTTTAACGATTTACAGGTTCATTGGGGATCTTTTGACCTGTCACTGAAACCCCGTTACTAATATTATATCGGGTTTATCGCTGATTACTTTTAAGTAGTTTCTCGAAAATATCCAAAGAAATAAGAAACGCAAAGCAAACAAAATAATGCTCTCACTTTTTAACTGTTTTTGCTTAAAATTTTATGAAACCATTCTGGAAATAAGTATATGTTGGCTTATAAAAAAATTTTTTTTTAAACTGCAATGACAAAGAGATATTGCAGTTTAAAAAAAATAAATAAGAGATTTTTTCCAGGTTTTCTCCATTCTCCGGGACCATTCTGGTTCAATATTGCTTCTCTTGCTCTTGCTATTGCTTCACTTTAATAAATGTACTTTAAAAATACTATTAGAGCAATTTATAAATTTTTTGGCTTGACCTTGACCTACTACCATTTCCACTTAGATGCTGAATAACAGAACTTACAGACTCAGTAGGAGTATGCGAAAAGGACATTTTTGAAATTTATCAAAAAGATAGTATCTGAATATAATATAGTCTATTTTTTTATATCGGAGAAAAAATTGACATACCTATGTAAATGTCAAATTTAGAAATAATCAGAAAAAATGCCTAAAGAGATAATGTTAAAACATGAATTATTTGAAATTGACCGAATAGACAAAAAAGCACATTAAATGTAGGTATGTCATTGACCAGATGGCTGCTGAACAGGATGTCACTAAACCCGATTTAGTTGGTCTGTAGGTGGCTAGTCTGATGATTCAGAATATTTTTCAGACCGCGACATTAGCTGAATCTGATTAATGGGTTATAATGATTTATTTCTCTCGTCACAAAGGTTTATGTATATTTATACTAAGAGAGTAGTGCTATAGTATACTATGAGTTACAAAATCATGAACCTTTATGATTAATGAATACCTGTAATTAGTTAAGTAATTAAAAATATATATGTTTCATATTATTTCAAATATCTATACCTTATTAATTTTGCATTATTTTAAATAAGTACCTAAAACAAATCATTATAATTTCTTATAAAAACGATACTAACCGATTTATTAACGTCAATTCCCGATGATGACACATCACTATTTAAGAATTGAAAAAAAAAATGCAACCAACGTTGTGTCAGTTTGTCTCAGAGATAAAAAAAACAGACTATACAAGATTGCAAAGTAACGCCTAAGTATTACAAATCGTTTGTCCTTAATACAGTATTTTTGTTATCCTTAGTTTTAGTCAGTTGAAGGGCATCTCTTATCTTCTAATGCGAATATGAGAGCGCATTCGATCTTGGCCTTCAGCCATGAGAGTACTTCAGGGTCTGCTACCTCGATGACCTTTTCATCGGTAGCAAAGTAGTTAACCAGCTCGTCCTGGAAATGGATTATTAATCATTATGAACTTATTGCGAAATCTATATGTTTTAGTCCCAGTAGTTAATTCCCAATACATACCGACGGGCGAAACCTAGACTCTACCTATCGCAGACCTGAGCTTGTGTCTAAAAGGCGGTTTTTTTATGTTTCTCGCACTCGGAATTTCTTAAAATACGAATAATCAATCATCGATAAATATTATAGTAACTACCCATTTATAGATTAAGTCTACACTCGATGCAGAGGCTAAGTGATCGCGTTCAGTGCTAAGGTATTTTAAGATAGACCGGAATAAAGATGTACACAAGCAGCTGGAAATTACACAGCGAGCACAAGTTTTATCCAGAACCTATAACTTTTCTACAGTCTAGTTTTTTAAGAAGAGCTCAGTCCCTTGTAGCCCATTAAATATTGGCATCAGGTAATAATAGGAACTTGTGTTGTCTTGCTTTTCAAGTTTTGAAAGCATCAAAGCGAGCTAACGTAGGACAACCAGCACTGCAGAGAGAAGGAAAACTTGACACAAACCCTATACCAACCCGTCTGGCCAGCGTGGTATAGTAGACCAAAACCTCCTTTCTAAGGAGAGGCCTATGTCCAGCAGTGGACTATTAAAGGCTGTCGATGTGAAAGCATCAAAGTGTGTATGTGATTTTATGAGCAAGTAGTTTTTATACCTGTTTTATGTTAAGCACAAGTTTGTCCTCAAGTATAATGGGGGTGCCAATGATGTCATCTAGCTTGACCGCCCACTCCACGTGGCAGGAACCACTGGCGCCGCCGGCTCGTACCATGAATACGTGCCTGAAATGTTTGTAATCCATACTTATATTGTAAATATGTGAGTGTGTTTGTTTGTTTGTTATGCTTTCACGCCTAAACCAGTAAACCGATTTTATAGATTCTTTTACCAGTGGAAAGCTATATTTTACCGCAATCACCGACATACACACGGGCGGTGCCGCGGGCAAACGCTACTGTTAAATAAATAAGTAAAGAAATATAGAAAAAAAAACAAAAGCCTTACAGTAGGTAGTCACATATGATATGTACATCATACAATACTCGTATAACATCTAACCGAAAACCCTATCACCGCGCGGGCTCTTTGGTCAAATCTAAATAGCGCGTGCTTCTTGTTACACACTAAAGTCTGTTTTTATTAGATCACTTTCACAAATGTGGTTATATTGTCAAGAAAAAAATAGACAGATTCAAATAAACAAATTGAATGATTATCGCAAGCTTTTAACACCCAGTAAGGAGAGTTACAGCACTGTAAAGAGATGGAAAACTTAAACAAAACTTGAAAAAAATTACAACCCGTCTGGCCACAGTTCTATGGTAGGCCTAAATCTTCCTTTTAAGGAGAGGTCTCTGTCCAGCAGTGGACTACACTTACGTAGTTAGATACTGGACTATAAACACATAAGGAGCTTGTTAGCATGAATCACTTATCAATATAATAATATATTTTTTAAATAGGCTATTAAACTGAAACTCTATTTGACTATTCAACAATTTGGCTTAAACAAATACTTACTGAGTGCTAATGAGCAGCGTACAGTTGGATTTAGGTCCAAGATGCGCGTGAGCAATATAAGAATCAGTATCAGCGTAGTGGCCACGACCGAGCAGAGTCAGGAGCTGCAGCCCCAGAGCTGCATGCTGGGAGTATGGACGTACACCCTGGAAATAAATAATGGTCCTTTATGATTTTCTTAGCTTAATCATTTAACTAAAACAGTACAGACGCAGACGCTGACAGTTCGAATTGAAAATCTGGTCATTCACTCATTAGTTTTTGAAATTTTATTTACTTATTGGCAATAATTATCACTGAAGTTGAAGGAAATGTATTGTAACAAAGACCTGTAACAAGTTTGTTAACTTTACCAACCGTTAGAAGGACCTCGTTGTTAAGCAGGGACAAGCTCTTCTCAGAATGGGAGGAAACGTGTGAAATTCTATCTAAAATATCCCTATCCTGAGAATTGATAGGGATATTTTTAATACCACGATTATGACGTCATTAATGGGTATGGTTAAGGTTTAATTATTAAATTCTTTCGACCATAATAATAAAGAAGTTATCACCTAATTATAAGATTTTAAATTGCAAAATGTATTATATCAGTGAGCACCAATATCTCCAATAACTACCACACGTTATCTGAACTCACCTCAGAAGATCCACAATGTCTTGGAAGCCGCCGTCTGGCCAGCAGTCGGCCACCACTCCGTTCCACGCAAGCCTTCAACGCGCCTTCAACACTGCTGATGCTAAGTTGACGGGATAGCGAGGCTTTTGCCGCTTCACGACATACATCTGGCGGGTTACAATTAATTGTTAAAACATGTTTTAAAACCGATGAAGTAATTAAAATGCCTGATATTGTGTAAGGTGAACTTTGTTAATTCTTAACCCTCAAACAAATGCCGTTATGTGTTTGTGGTACAAAAAAATGTTTTGCTAATTTACTCATTTGTACGAAGCATTTTAGTTATGTCTGAGCAAAAACAGAGCAAGAATACGCGCCCTAATAGTAGTTTGTTTAGAAAGGACTACTAAACAGTTGCCATAATTACTAAAATAATTAGGTGTTTAGATTATCTTTTTTTTTATCTACACAAGCGAATTATTTTGCAGCCTTAGTAGATGCGTAAAGAATAATATCCTATACAAACTCTGCATTTGAAATTGTTATTGCCTTGTCTTTTAATGGTCAATAATATCGAAAGAAATTTATTGTAACTTCTAAAATATTTTAAAATTGTGCAAGTTTTTTTGGTAAACGGTCTAAGGGCTTGCAATTAATAAATTGGTCTCCGTGTTGGATAAAGCTGGATATCTCCGACCACAGGTAAACAATAATGTAAATATGATCACAAATAAAGAAAGAAATAATATGGCATCCAATAGTAGATATAGAAGAATGGTACTCATGCATTGAAGGTAAACCATGCGCAACCATTTCATAAGATAATAAAAGACGTGTTCACTAAACTCAGTGTTGATAAAATTTAATTCTAGTGTTTTTTAATGATATATGCGAGCAAAGAAATAGACGTAGGTGACTACCGCTGTCCTTGGACACCTGCGATTCTGCGACACAAGTGTCTTGCCGCCTTTTGAGTGCCCCACTTCTCTAGAATTTTCTTGGCGAGTTGTAGTCCAGTCACTTGCATAAAAAAGGGGTCAATCTTCGAATGAGAGATAGTGAGCTGAATTTTTGGATATACCTTTATTTTGGCGTTCTAAAAGTAGTCACAAAAGTCTCATATAATCTCGTGTCTGCGTCGTAAGTTTTTCAAGGTCAAACGTAAAAAACTAATTTTCGCTATTATCTCGGTTTCTATTGATCCAATCATGTTTTTATTTAGTATAAAAATTGTAGAGCACAAAATTTGCTACAAATTTTATTTCAAACATTTTTTCATGCGCTCAACCGTGTTTGCGATAGAGGGCAAATGAAGATACATACAGAAATCCATCTTATTATCTCTCATTCCGAGGTTGATTGCTAAAGTGACTGGACTATTGAACCTCCGTTCACTTCACTCATTCGGTTGAAAGCAAAGCAAAACAAATAGGTGAGCTAATATTTGAACGTTAACTTGAAGCGTAAGGCACCTTGTGTACATATGTACATATGTGTACATCGTCAATGGCTAAAAGACAAATATCATGCACTACGATACTCACTCCTCACAACAACACAGTCGTCATCTGACCGCGGACGCACACCATAGGACAAATAGAAACACATTTCATTATAAACTACATGATTATGACATTAACTGATTTTTCCAGCGAAAGTTGATATTGTGAATAAGACCCATTAGAGGAAAAGTATGCCAAAAATGTAACAAATGGGCAGTTTGCTTGTTTCAATCGCTTGGAATCAGATGTCTGTGAAAAAATAATCCAAACAGCATAATCCATAATTCCATCAAAGCTATCCCATTCGTTCGTACTGTTTTTTTCTTCTTTCGGTATAAGATAATTATTAAACAAGTCAAGGTTATACTCATTATTAGAGTAAAAAATGATTCAGGAAACCGCCCGAATAAACTAACTTATACTGAAACAAACACTGAGCAACTGTTAATTGTTTTAGTGAATTAACAAAGTAGAAAAAGTTGCAATAAAAACGGCTTTAATATTCTTTTTCATCGTCAACTCTCGTTAGAACGTTCTTTTACATAAAATATTAGAATATCATGCGAATGATTCTAAAAAAGAAGAAACATTTTGAATGAAGACGTAGTAGAATTAAAAACCTTAAAACACTAAGTAATTATTAGAAACAAATATTATTCTGTTCATTAAACATGCAATTCCATTAAATATTGACTATCAAAGACATTAAATAACTACGAGAAAGGCACAAAAGCTCACCAAACGTGGGCCTGGCGACCAGTGCGGTTAGTGCCAGAGCGATGCTGGCTGGGTTATTGCTGTCGGCGTCTATCACGCTCTCTGGTATATCGTTGCTTAGCTGTTGTTGTTCACCTAAATACGACACATTGACAGTACGTAAAAGAAATGTAGGAATACACTACTGTAGTTATTAAAGAATCATGTATTATTCGAAAAACTGTGGATACCCTAATGAACTAAATACAACTGAGAAAGGAAAAAAGAAGAGGGCAATACTTGGCTGTGGGATTGTTTACAGACGAGGCTTAAATCAATTGTGATCGAAACAAAACTTAAAAGAAAAAACGAAACAAAATAAAAAAGAAACGACACGAAACGAAAGAAGGTGACATCCTTAAAATAAAAAAAAAACAAAAGAAAAATGGACAAGTAAGAGAAGAAAACAAAATTAAAACTTAAAAGGTTTTCGTTAACAATTATCCTGACACACACAAATCTACTGCATATTGTATTTTACATGATAAATTCCATTTTGGAGATATTGAAAAATTGTAATTACAGACTAGAGATGAGACGACACTCACCTAGTTTCCTCCTAGGTGTCTGCGGTCTAGGCAGCTCCTCGAACATAGCACTGTTCCTAGTGGTAGGGCTCGCATGAAGACCTAGTAACGCTGCTGCTCCTTCCTCCAAACGGGAAGACACGTCCATAGATTTCCGACCTAGACAGGAACCCTGAAAGCGACAAGCAATAAAATCAAAAATAGCCATGCCCTTGAAAAAATACAACTTGATAAACTTCGTACACATAGATTTTAATGTTATTGTATATAAATCTAAATAAGCTACATATCCGAACCAAAGTTTTAAAGATACTATAATTTGCATTTATCACACTCATTATCAACATCAACAGCCTTTAACAGTCCACTGCTGGACATAGGCCTCTCCTTAGAAAGGAGGTTTTGGCCTACTATACCACGCTGGCCAGACGGGTTGGTATAGGGTTTGTGTCAAGTTTTCCTTCTCTCTGTAAAGCTGTTGCTCTGCGTAGTTTTCTCCCTTAGTCGGCTCTTACGACACCCACGGGATGAATAGAGTTGGTGACACTGTGTATTCTTAATCCGTCACCACACGGATCATTACACTCAATTTCATGAAACAACCTATATTTTGCTCCTAATTTCATTCTGCGCACCTATGAAAACTACACGAAAAGCTGTACAGCAGTTTCGAAGTGTGTCCTATAAAAGATAAACATTTAAATTTATCTGCTAGATAAAGATTTATCTAGCAGATAAAGATTTAAATCTAGGTAGCAGAGGCATATTAAACGCTCACATTTTTATGGCTCCTTTTAGTCCCACTTACGTTGCAGGGTGCAAGCCCTCTTAAGAATCAAGCTGCTTTTTATACCTAAATGATTTTATATTTTGTAATCTCTTACACCTTATTGTCAAAGATTACAAATTGATAATCAGCTGCATGAAGCTTATTCTCATTGTGAGAATAAGGTGACGGCGGGAGATAAAAATAAATAATTTATATTTTTTTCCATAAATATTATCAGATCAAGTTTAGAAATTTTATACCTATGAAGTGACAGTAAGTGGAACAGATCTAATTTCATATTGATCTTACCAAACAAGGCTCATAGTATTGTTTCAATCCTTTTGAGAAGTCTCCAATATAGCTGTAAGGGTTTCCTAAGATATTAAGTCCGAGCACCAGCACGTAAAACTGTTGCACCAGTTGAGTCCAATAGTGACGAGAGGCCATGTCTACGACAACTGATGTTGTGATGGGGGCGTTACGGATTTCCATGTAGGACATTCTGTAAATAATTTAAACTTCAGACATTTCTTCTCAATTTGGATATAGGTACTAAGCGTTGTCTATTCCATTTAAAATAAGGTTAAACGTTGTTCCCACTGTAAATTATGGTTTCTGCAAAAAGAAAGTGCAGACAACCAACAGATCGTGTACAAATGTATTGGCTGATTTCACAACTAATAGAAAACGAATAAAAAATTAATAACGTACCTCAATACCACGTCCTTCATGTCACAAAGCGACGAACCCCACGAGTTAAATAGATACTCCAACAAATCACTGTTGAACAACTTCGGTCTATTCTCCTTCTTATTTCCGAATTTAGTTCTGCTTGGACTGTTACTCGCCTCTGCTGAATATCCTCGAGATGACAAACTTAGAACCAATTTTACAGGAGACAAGTGAACGAATTCAAAGAGAACATTCCTTTGAAAATTAATTTGACTTTTTACTGCAATCATTGGCAGCGGCATATGGACTAAGGCTAGGTCTGCACGAAGCCTCACAGCAGGTTTGTCTTCAATTTTCCAATGGTTCAGTATATCGAACACATAATTCACGAATCCTCGGTCTAAATTTACACAGTACTCCTGAACCAATACTTTGAAGTATTTGTAAACATCCTGGTTCAAACTTGGTCTATGTTGTTTCAGAGCTACGATTTCTATACAAGGTTTTAAGCCTCTGTTAGACCTGATATCGTTAGATATTGGAGCTGGATAGAGAACACTGGGGAACACAGCTTCATGCAGCTGATTATCAATTTGTAATCTTTGACATTTCATGTGACAGTATGTGTAAGTATCTGATTTTCGAATCTGCAGCCAAACTCCTGGATTATACGTTCTTCGGAGTTCAGAGAAAAATGGTTTTGTCATCTGCATTTTCTCTAAGTCAATATGAATATATTCTTTTAGTTGGCATTTTTTCTGCTCTGTTTGATATTTGTCTTCGATCCATGATGTCAATTCTGGAGACAGCTGCTTCCATTTATGATTGACGTTCACTTCCCATCGTGGTAAGGAATCCGTCATACTCACGTATGCAAGTTCCTTTACTCCAGCATTAGTTGGAACACAAACAGATAAACTAACCCCTGATAACGACATGTAGATTTCATAATTACTTCTCTCAGAGTTGATTCTCATTCGGTACTGGTAGGCAAGTCGTTCATTTTGAGCTAGAGCAAATACTCTTTGATACCCGTCCATATATGCAATCCAGTAGACAATAACTTTATCCTTCCTCATCTTTTTAGTCTTAGTGTGACTTTCAGGGAGGTCTGAACTATCAGAGTCATCACTACTTGAAGAACAGGGTTCGGGGGACTTTGGTGTAAGTCGTTTCAAAGTAGAAGACAATTTTGATGTAACACTACTGGTTGCGACGAGAGTAGAATGCTTCACTGAATGGAAACTCAGTTTTTCTTCGCCGTAACTGAAAAAATAATTTGTCGTAAGATCTCTTTAGTAATAATAATAATAATAACATTTATTTCATAGTAAAGTTTTACAGTTTCATTACATAGGTTATCATAATAGTTAGGTATATAACTTAGGCTATAATTAATTGGAGTGATTGCTGTTCTCCTAGATAGGCAACTAAGTTGCCTGTGTTTAGGAGTTACAGTCCCTCAAGTGCGCATATGGGGGTGAATGTCGTGTGCGTAGCGTGCGTGCGCATGTGTGTGTGTGGGTGTGTGTGTGTGTGCGTGTACGTGTGTGTGTGCGTGAGTGTATGTGTGTATGAGTGCGTGTGTGTATATGCGTGTGGTTAGGTGTTTGTGGCCTTACTTGGTTTCAATTTTCGTGTAAATAATAATATATATTGTGCTTAACCGTTTAGGAATTGCTCTGTTTCGTCATAATTCAGGTTTTGGAGGTAGGATTTAACAGTCTTTGACAGTAGATGTTTGGGCAAATGATAGATAGGGCACACTGCATTAAGCTTGTTATAAACAGATGGACCAAGGTAGGAAAAATCTTTTAAAGAAAGTTGAGCCCGCAGGAGGGATTGAACAAATTCGGTCTTTACGACGTTTGTTAATCGGTAAAAGCGGTGTGAGACGGTGTTGTAATCCTGTTAGGTGTAATAAAAATAGTTGTCTCACACTGAGTAAATTGCACTTCTTATAAAGCTCGGTTGTTGGAAATAAAATAGGTCTAAATGTAGCAACTTTTAAAATAGCACGATGAGCTATTTCCAGTGGTCTTAGAATTGTTTTAGCTGCACCTCCCCAGCAAGGAATACAATAAATTATTATGGAGTGACAGAGGGCATAATACACGTTACGGATAACCGCTTGATTGGCTACGTGTCGTAAGTTTTTGAAGACATATATTAGTTTACGAACGCGTCCCGAGAGAGTGTCAATATGTTGTCTAAATTTAAGGTGTTTATCCAAGATAATGCCGAGGTATTTAATTTGGTTAACTGGAGTTATTGCTAGGCATTTGCAATTCAGGTGAAGTTGAGACTGACAATAGTGAGCCATTAGATTTATAGGGTTTTTAGGTTGAGATAGTGGGGTAAGCGAGAAAGTCATAAAATTTGTTTTGGTAGTGTTAAGAGTTAGAGTGTGTGAGGCAAGCCAGGTTAAAACAGTACAGAAACCTCCTTGAGCCGCAGTTTCAAGTTCAGACCATGTGTTTGCATGAAAAGTTATGGCCGTGTCGTCTGCAAAAGATACAATGTTTGCGTGTGGAATGATTAAGTTACAAAGGTCGTTAATAAAGACAAGGAATAAAGTAGGGCCTAAGATACTACCTTGAGGCACACCGTAATGGATGGAAAGTTCATCGCCAATGTAGTCGTTGATATTAACAAGTTGTGTCCGATTCGTTAGGTAGCTTTTTAGTAGTTCTAGTGGTGGGCCCCTGATTCCTGCATTTTCAAGTTTGATTATGAGGGTAGAAATTGGCACAGTATCGAAGGCCTTGGCTAGGTCCAAGAAAATAGTCAGAACTTTTTTTTTCTTTTTAAGTTTTTCCACAATGTTATTAACTAAATTTTGGACTGCATCACACGTAGATTTGTTTCTACGGAAGCCAAATTGTTGGGTTGAAAGCAACTTAAAGTGCTCCAGGTAGCTGATCAGTCTCTTATTTATAAGTCGTTCAAGTATCTTGGATAAAGCACTAAGTACAGCTATGGGTCGATAGTTGTTTGGCGACTGTCCGTCTCCACCCTTAAAAATCGGATGAATGATGGCTATTTTGAAAGAGGTAGGAAAAATAGCTGTTTCAAAACAGAGGTTGAAAATATAGCTTAATGAGGACACTATAAGTACATTATATCGTCTAAGGAATGACAGGGGAATACCATCCCAACCTACAGCAGCAGTCACCCTTAGTGTGTTTATCACAGACGAAATTTCGACGGGGTCTGTTGGCTCTAAGACGAAGGAATTATTATGCTTTGAAGTGCAATTAGGTGGTGTACTTGATGAAGTGTAGGTGTTTTGTATTTTTTCGGCGAGATTTTTTCCAATGTTTACGAAAAATTGGTTAACACTATTACAAGACTGTTGAGGTGACGTCGAGAGTGATAACAGTTTGTTTGACATATTAGTAGGTTTGCTTGTGTTTGTTATAAGTCTAATAGAATCCCAGAGTTTTTTGGGGCTGTGACTTGCCTTAATTAGCTCTTGTGTGTCATACTGCCTTTTTACTTTTTTTAGAATAGTTGAGCAAAACTTTCTGTATCGTTTATAGGTGGTGAGAATGGTAATATCATCTGGGGCTTGTTTAACTTTTTTGTGAAGTAAATCTCTATGTCGTATACACCGTAAGAGGCCTGGTGTTATCCATGGTTTAAGCACTCTTTTCCTAGCAGAGACTTTAACAGTAGATGTACATTTGGCTATAGCATTTTTAACTATTTTTATAAAGTTGTCGGTCGCATTATTTGGGTCTGACATGGAGAAAATGGGTGTAAAATCTGTATTTTCCATAAGTTGGTCAAGCGCAACATAATCGACCCTGCTAACCTCCCTTGGACTAGCTTCTTTAATTATGTTTTTGGCCATACAGAGCAAGGTCGGGTAGTGATCGGTTATCGCCGTTTCGAAGAGGAATGTAATAGTTTGAAAAGTTGTTCTCAACATTAAGTGGTCAATGCAGTTCTTGTCTCGCGTGGGTTGAGCATGTGCTGGGAGAAAACCGTGATAGGCCAAAAATGTAAGGTAACATTGACTGCGTGTGTCGTTAGTCATAGGTTTAATGTCGATATTGATATCGCCTGTTAGAACTACAGACTTATGGCTGTTGAGGGTTGATAGGATATTGTTAAGGGCAGATAAGAAAGGGTCAATTAGGTGATTAGAAGGGGAGCGATATACACAGATTATTGACATGGAGTCTAACGTAATTAGCAGACCAGAGGCCGTTTCACAAAAGTTGGGCTCTTCACATGTGGCCGTTATTGTAGATTTGATATAAACCACAACACCATCGTTTTGGTTTTGATGATTGTTTGTTTTAAACGAGGCAAAGCCCTGTAATATTGGGATGTTAGTATTGCTGTCACATTTAAGCCAACACTCCGTCAGCACCAGAATGTCACAGTCGATATCGAGGCGCTTCAGTAGTGTTTGTAGTTCTAGGTTATTGCGATTAATAGATCGTATGTTGAGAGTGAAGATTTTAAGATAGTTATTTGGGTGTTTTATAAAAGTTTTTGTGTGTTCAGGAATGCAAGTAATGACTTGAGATACAGAAAGGCAGTCAACTTTATCCATGAAATCCGTAATGTTAATCATTTTAAATCAATAATAAAGTTGATAAATTTGTGACCAATTAAGGCTTTAATTTTTAGATACTGATGATTTACTGTTATAATAGCCACAACAAACAGCGTGCAGTGAAAGGGATAAGTGTGAGCGTGTTGAAGTATAGTATTATTGCGTGCATCATAGTAGGTTGTGAAAATGTGTTGTTGAGTGTGTATATGTGTTGTAAGTAAAATAGAAAATTAACTTAATCCTAAGGTTAACTATGAATGAAATTAAAAAACATGCATAATACAATTTATAGTAAGAAAAAAATTTAGAAACAAGTTGTGGTATCAGTCAAGCTTTGTTTACTTCTGCCAGGCCCTTCATTTGAGATTCGGATTTTATAATAATAGTAGTGCTGTCCGGGTTTTTTTTCAACATTACGCGACCATTGTTCGTCCAACAGAAATTGTATTGGTTTGCCTTGGCCCAAATCCTAGCCAGATAGAAAAGTCGTTTTGAGTTTGTTGTAAGCTGTTCTGCAATATAAATCGGTGCTGTTGCAGCACCTATACCCATGAGAGATGAATTCACCTTTTGACTAGGGTTACGTTTGTTATATTCCTTGATGGTCGTGAGAAATCTGCTTTTGACTAGAGTATTTGTAAACTCAACAGTCAGTGATGAACGGGGAGTCTCTTTTTTGGACGGCTGGCGAGTGACGTCACGTATGTCTGATAATGTAATATTAGCTTCTACGTGCTTAGATAACTGCAATAGAGCATCATATAATATTTTACTGGTTTCATTTTGAGATTTTGGTACATTTCGTATTTCAACACTCGTCTTAAGAAATGACTTATTGAAGGACTCAAGCTTCTCTTCTAGAATAACAATTCTATTGTTCGTAAAATTACGCTCTGCTTCCAATTTTGTTATTTTTGTGTCCAGGCAAGTAAGTTGATCCGTGACATAAGACATACTTCTTTCAATTTCTTTGTTTGTTTCATCGATTTTTGTATTTATGGTTTTTATTTCCAACATGTGAGTCTCCAGTTGATCCAATCGAGCATTTTGTTGGCATATCATTCCGTGAATCATATCTTTAATTTCCTGTTTGAAGTCCGCCAAATCGTCACTTTTTTTTTCATATTCACTCGATGGACAGCGCCGCTTAGATCTTTGCGTTAAGCCATTGTTAGCCGTACTTGGATCTTCAGAGTAAAGTTTATGTATATCGGTTTCGGATCGAGATGGCGTTTGTTGTTTTGGAGGTGTACGGGACAGTTTAGACATAGTAAATTGTCGTGTGTTACGAAGAATAAACTGACAACAGCCACAAAAAGCGATATCGCAACCTAGGTTTTGAAACCTCGACCTTTAGTGTTTTACTTATTTAAGAATAGTAAAATTTAATTTTTTGTTTGTATTGAGCTGATGGTACAGGCATCACTGTCATTTACGCTGGTAACACTGCAGTGTATCTGGTATTTATATTAAAATTAATACTTATAAAAAAGGAACATAACAATACAAAAATACCAATAAATTTAAAACTTACCCATCTTGTCCAAAATCCGCAACAAAACCCTTGCCTTTGTTATTGTATATATTCCACAATAGCTTCCTCTCCTTTTCCGGATCGTCCCACGTGTAGAACATAGACTGGTACGGACTCAGCAGCGCCACCTGCCCCGAGTTTACTTGGTGTAGCTTCAGGAAAAGATCGTCACAAAGGTTGTCGATACGAACCGGGCAGTCTCCTGGTGTGTAGGGCTTGAAGGTTATTGTAAAAGGTCGATCTGTGCCTCCTGTTACTTCCACGCATATTGCAGTCTGGAAACAAACCAATGAAACCATTACTTAAAAATAAAATATTGTGGAAACGTGTAATATATTTTAGCCACAAGGGCTACTGCTGTCAAAAAAGTCATGAATTACGTAGAAAAGAATTGCGGACTCTTACTGTTTTAAATGTCGGCCATATTTATTTATCAGAAGAAACTGAACTGAAGAAGACAGGTCAGTAAGTTGATTTTCAAGAGAGAACACAGCTGTGCTATTCCACAGTATACAGTTTAAATGTTATTTTTACATCTTTCTTCCATTTAACTAAATCAATTTTAGTGCGTAAAAGCGTACTTCTACTAGGGAGTCTTTTAAGACCAAAACGAACCGAAAAAATAAAGAAAGAAAGATATGACAACGTTAGAAATATGCAGATGGAAATTGTCTTAAAATAACTTGAGCAAATTGAATGATTTGAAACGCTTGATGATACATCTGGGCTTTTTAAAAAGAAAAACAACATAGTTTGGTTTACCGACGCGATGAATTCGACTAACTAACTACTCGAAATAGATTTAATACTATTTAAATATTCAGCTTTTACTATCGAGTATTTTTGTATGAAAATGTGTGAAACATTACAAGTGCGTAAATGCACAAAACGTCATATATTCTCCAATGTCCTTGGAATTTGTCAATAAAATACAAAATGTATCATTTTAAAACCACACCCCAAAATACTCTTTTAAGCTACCAATTTGAGACAAAGCACAGACAAACACCAGCCGCTCCGACTCGAACTAGTTGCCATTTTCTAGTGCCCTTCACATACATGCTTGTTTGCTACCTTAGCTTTTTAAAAAAAGAACGCGTTTTTGGGTACAATCTCGATACTTATACCATAACGTAACAGGAAATTATGCAACATGTGACAAAGGCAACACATCAACTCCTTTCATCTGTTTGAACCTCAATCAATAACAATATTTACTTTACAAATACTGAAAACATACTAACACATATCCGGATACTAAATTCTGTCATGTAAGTAGGGACACGAAAGCTATGATGTAAACGTTATATCATTGACAATAGACGTAGGCGCAGAAGCGGCGCGTACTAACACAATTAGCACCCACTTTCATCTCAAGTTTTATAAGATCCACTCACTCCGCCACTTTCCTCAGTTTTCAGAGGCATAGCGAACCATCGCAATGTTGTACCAGACACTGTCATATTTCATCCTGTGTACCGTGTTGAGTGTTAGTTCTGAGTGTGATCAAGGATGTCAAAAATTCAGAGTGAAACGGGGAAAATATTACTCAAACCCGCCAAGTAGATTCTACAACCAACCGCCAATGTCAGCTCCTATTCAAGGACCCTTTTCTTATACTCCACCACCTTTTATTAACGAAAAGCCGTCGTATCCCGGACGCAGGCCATATAAGGTTAGTAAAATACCCAAACCATCTAATAATGACGGGTTAGGGGATGATGATATATCAAATATAGTCAAATATATGTCCTCGCAAGACTTAGAAAAGCTATTAGAATTCGTTCAAAACAAAGATCAAGGTTATAATAAGTACAAAGATCGATACAACAGTAACGAATATATGCGAACTTACAAAAGAGAAAACAAAGAATTTAGTGCGTATGAAAAACCAACGTCTCATAAAGAAGAAATTGACTTTTTGAATTATGTCACTGAACCGACTTTTGATAATTTTCTCAAAGCCCAAGAAACTCAATACTCTAAACCAACTCGTGAACATTCAGAACGAATACGAGCTGCAAACATACCCAATGAATTGGCCAGTTTCTCTTCTGAACAACACTATATTAACTCTGATAATACGGCTAGTTTTTCAATCCCAACCAAGAAACATAACACAGAAAGTATTCCTACCTATTTAAATATATTTACTGCTCAAGAATCTCAGCCAATACAAACTCATATTTCATCACATTATCAAAACAAAGACAATACAAATAGGCCGGTACCAGACCTTGTTTTCAATAACTCTGTCTTTCTTGAAACCAACGAAGAAGAAAAGCTACCACCCCCAGTGAACATGAGAGAGGAAGATTATGAATCATCATTCACAAATAATGTACCAAAAGTTGTAAAGCCTGAATCGTATGACGTGCAAAATTTTGGTGATTTGCCGTTAATGGACTACAATTCTAAGTTGCATGATGTCAGTTCTTATCACGTACCACATTATTCCGTAAGTATTTTACAAATTTAATGTGAACTGTGTTGATATTTTAGGAATTTGTTGTTTTTTCTATTTGTCTTTAAAAGTTCTAAATATTGAAGCATACCAATTTTGATATGGTTTCATAAATTATCATTTAACTAAGGATCACCTAACAATTGAATTTAGATGTTTTGATAATCTTGTTTACTTTCATTTTGTTGTCCAGTATTACTTGAACTGTCATCCTTTTAATTGTACTATGACAGGTCAAAAGATATACCGGACTCGTATAGTTATAAATTATAGTCTTTTTTACATAATTTTAAGTTCACAAATTCCAAATATGAGATGTTTCCATCCGCTAAAGAAAGGTACAAAGATTTTTTACCCGTGTAAATATATTGATAACAGTATAGGACCTTCAAACCTGTCTTAACCCACAATAATAGCTGCAGCATTAATAGCTGAAACTGTATTCTCATTTCTACGAACTTATTCCAATACTCAATCGCCTATATTTTACAGGTAACTGATACTAAACCATCACAAGCAGTAGCATCTATGGTATCCTTCCCATCATCGTCATCTTCATCATCATCGCTTCTGAAAATATCACCAGCGGCGGCTCATATCTTGGAACCTATATACGAACCCGCACCACCTGTTTCGGCAGCTGCTAGTCAAACTGATGCCCATCTCAAGGCTACCAAAATCTGGTCTTACAAATCACGAGGTGCTGCTTACACTTTAAATGATGATGGAAGTCTGACTCCTGAGAGGAGTAGGCCTAGAGAATACAAAAGACCTTAGAATTGCCACATTATATATTTATTACTTATTTATTTTGTAAGTAGTGACGATAAATCTCGATAAAGTTTTCTGTCTTTTGGTTTATCAGGGTTTAAGTTTGAAGTTGTAGTAAGAGATGCTTAATTTATATGTTTTGTTGTTATTAAAATAATTCATTAAAACTTTGCGTTCTTTTTTTTATGGCGTGGGGGGCAAACAAGCAGTCGGTCTACCTGATGGTAAGTGACTACCACCACCCATGGAAGCCTGCAACTCAGGAGTTACAGAGTGCAGTGCCGCATGATTCTGGGGTACTTGCCGCATTGACCCCCCTCAGAATCAGGGTGAGGGGTAGTTTCAGCTTGTTTATTAGGAAAAAATATCACTCACCCCTTTATCCATCCTGAGTACAGTGAAATGGTTCTTCGTAATAGGAAAGTGCTGTGAAACAACAGTGGAGTCCCGATACTTGCAATGCATCGACATAGAGTCTGTCTGCGGCCAGAATGGTGTACTTTGCTGAGGAGTGAGGTCGTTCCAGAGGTCGGCTGCTTCATTCTCCTCCATAAAACGCAGGTGGCGTTTGGTGTCGTTGAACACCAAGAAATATGGTAAGAGAGTCACAATTTTTGTGAGCTGGGGGCATAATTCTGAGAGGGTCACCTGGAAATAAAAATATGTAATTAAAAATAGTAGCCTAATGGTTAAGTTGTCGGACTTGTAATTAACTTATTACAAGTTCGATTCCCACCAAGTGCATTTTCACGACAGGGGTCAATAAAAATATTAGTAAAGTAGGGTACTTATAACCTAGGTAACCTAGGGTACTTATCTTGAAATAGAAAACTCCCGCATTAGGAATATATCCTTTGTCGCAGGGGACTTCACAACATACATGAAACGGACAGAAAGAACAACCAGACTCAGAACAACAATTTGTGGATCACACAAAGTGTCGTCCCATGTGGGGTTTGAACCCACAACACTCGGCGTAGTGGGAAGCGGCGTGGCGACGGCTTAAACCGTGCAGAAAAATATTGTGTAGTTGAAAAATAAAAGTGTCTGTTAGTTGACTATTTTTTTATTGTTAAATTTATGTAAATTATTGTTTGAATCTATAAAACTATTTGACGTGTTGTGACGGATTAAAAATATAGAGTGTCATCATCCTTGTTCATCCAGACGACTATCGGAGCAAACTATGTAGGACAACAGCACTGCGAAGAGAAGAATAACTTGACATAACCCTATACGAACCCGTCTGGCCAGCGTGGTATAGTAGGCCTAAACCGCCTTTCTAAGGAGAGGCCTATGTCCAGCAGTGGACTATTAAAGGCTGTTGCTGAGATCTAGGTAGATTTGGGTAGTTCCAACACACAGTATGATATTTTGAATTCTCTTAGTTATTGTGTACGTTTTAATTTACAGTGTTTATTTATTTTATAACTATCAAATCAATATCAAAAGTGAATCGCCAATACCGAGGTGTGACGTGATGTCTTAGTATTTCATTTTAAAACGTACCAAACCTTACTTTTGAGTTTTAATGAATCATTTTGAGCTTATACCTTATAGGAATGTTTATAACGTAGTGGTAAAAGTTACAAACATTGAGCAGCAAGCGGTAGTTGGTCCGGCGCTCGACGTGCGGGCACACGACGAGGCCGGGCGCGGCGGCGGCGAGGCGCGCGGCGCGGGACCAGGCGGACTGGTGCGCGCGCACGCGCACCAGGCACGCGCGCCGCCGCCCGCGCGCCCCGGGGCTCCACAGCAGCGGCTCCTCCGTCACTTCGTAGCACGCTTCGGTCTGGGTGCCCTGCGTGTACATCCAATGCTTACGTATCGCGGTACGGCACCCTTAAACCGAACTAACTACATAAGAAATTAAAATTAGGTAGACCAGAAACATTGGATGCAACATGGATTTACTATATTTCCAACTCCTCCAATTTTCTTCTGATTAATTTCGTTGCGGGTTCCAAGAGGGTTTAATTTTTTCCTGGTACTTCCCGAGTGTCATAACTCGGTGTGTTCGTGGGTCACTGCTGTGGATCCTGGTTTACAGGAGTTACAGTGGTGGGCGTGTGGGTGGGACTAGTCCCATTTAAAAAAAAAAGATCAAAAACACCAAATCGATGACCTTGAATGAAAGCTTTTGAGAATACTATAGAGAAAACTCAAAACGAGTTTTTTAATTCTAAGTATTCCGTAAGTGGCGCTATTAAAATGAAAACTACCCCACTTCCGTTTCTTATGCTCCGATCACGACCGAAATTCAGTCAGTTCTTCTCTGGAATGCCCTCCCTGCCGAATGTCCACACCGCCTTGCAGTCAAGCGAAAAGTGCGCGATCTTCTTCGGAATGAATTGGCAGAATAGTCACAAAGCTAGTACCCGACTGAGTACTTATATATTTTATTAAATTTATATAGATAATGTATGTATGCCGAAATGCGAATGCTGAGATGGATGTGTGGTGTGACTCAGATGGACAAGATTAGGAATGAGTATATACGAGGGAGTCTGAAAGTAGCGCCACTGGATGAAAAGTTAAGAAGTAATAGGTTATCTTGGTATGGACATGTCATGCGGAGGGATGAGGAAAATGTGGCGAAGAAAGTTTTAGGTATGAGAGTTGAAGGGTACAAGAGAAGAGGCAGACCGAAGAAGAGGTGGATGGACTGCGTTAGGGAGGATATGGCTAGGAAGAGAGTAAACAGTGAGATGACGCGTGACAGAGTAGAATGGAAAAATCATACATACTGCGCCGACCCCAAATAAAATTGGGAAAAGGGTAGGCAGATGATGATGATGATGATAGGTACAACTATACCGTACCGTAGGTTCAACTATGTTAAATGTAATATTTAATTTTGAGATACTACCTCATGCCATTAAGGCCGCCTTTGTACAATATGTGCATCAAGTTATAAATAAATAAATTGGTAGCAAAAACCTAACCATCCACAAGAATATCACGTAGAAACACTACCTGATGTATCTACTCTAGAAACAGATTAAAATTATACTTTCCAATTTAATGAGATAGCTTTACACGTATTTATATACAAAGGAGAAAATGCTTCAAAATTGAATCATTTCATTTCATTCTTCAAACGACAATAAACTGAATAAGTTTTCCAAGTATCTAGTTAAACAGACAAAAGTAATTACCTTGATTTGCAGCGGTAAACCAGTTTTGTTTATAAACCAGTGCTGAGCGTGCAAGAACAACTCCCAACAATCGTTCCTCTCCACTGTCACACAGACCAGCACCTGCTTGTTGCAGCTCTCCGCGTCACCTGAGCTGGTCATTGTCACGCTTTTCTCTGTTATATCTATAACACAGATAGACCTGATGATTCTAAACTCCCTTATATTGCCTTAAGTCTGTTGGTAACGCTTTCTCGCGTAACTACTCGTTTTATACATGTTGACATGAATATAGAGAAGAACAAAGGTACTACGTCGATCCTTTTGACCAGAAGAGAAGATAACACTAAAGAAGCAACAGCGAATGCTCTTTATTTCATAATTCCAAACAGTTCTACGAGTATTCTACATAGTTTAAAACCTGCGGTTCCCTTCTTCAAGAAAAGAGCGAGCTCCCAATTCCAATAATAATAATATATTTCACATATCTCACTCACGACCGTATGATCCTAAACTAGGCAGGGCCTGTTCTACGGTAATCAGACTGCTGATAAACATACTTATACATTTTAAATACATAAATTTTATAGATAAATTATAGGTACTCAGACACAGAACAAATGACCGTGCTTATCACACAATATTTGTCCTTGATGGGAATCGAACCTACGACCTGCAGATTAGCAGTCAAAGTCGCTAACCACTAAACCAACAGGCCCGTCAATACAACGCACTTGTGATTGTTCAGTTGCTGTTTTTCATAAGCAGCGATAGTCACTTAGCATCAGGGGACCCGTCGCTTGCTTGTCACATATTGACGACCGGATGGCGTAGTGGTTTGTGTAACGGACTGCTATTCCAGAGGTCGCGGGTTCGATTCCCGCTCAAGTCAAACATTTGTGTGCATGAACATTTAATGTTTGATTTGGTCTGGGTGTTTCTATGTATAATATGTGTGTATTTACAAAAAAAAAGTCTATATGTATTTATATCAGTTGTCTAGTACCCATAGTACAAGCTCTGCTTAGTTTGGGACTAGATGGCGTTGTGTGTATGTTGTAGATTATTATTATTATATATCAAAAAAATCTCATCAAGCTAAACAGCTAAAAACATTATTTTACCTGGAGACAACGTGAAGCTCCCGGTCCAGGGCAATCCCATGTAATGCATCTCGATTGTGATCCTGTGTGACTGTGTCAGTTGAAGCGTGTATGTGTGTGTGCGTTCCCCTGCCTCTATGCGCATCATCCATGACGCTGATTCGCAGGATATTTCCGTTGCATAAGGCAAGCGGTTGTAAATGGCCAGGGGAGGAACTACCCGGATCAGGTAATTTGGTATTGATCTGCTCACTTTAGTTGATTGAATTCCTGGTATAAAAAAGTTTTGTGTTCATAACCATTTCATAACCATTAAAGTAAATACATTGAAAGGAACTATTTTTTTGTTAAACAACAGGAATCAGCTATTATTAGGACATCCGGACCCCTTCTAGCATCTGCCTGCTAGCGGAAGATCTTCTCTGATAGCTGCAATGAAGACCAAACGCTGCGACGCCCAAGCCGGGCAAATTGCCAGCGTGTGCTGAGCCGAGTCCTCATTGTAATCGCAATGGTGATAGGCGGGCCTTCATTACTCCAAGCGGCCGAGTGCAGGTACTTCACGTAGCAGCGGTGACCGGAAAGGACCTGCGTCAGTCGGAAGGAAAGGGTCCCGAGCTCTCCACGGCGCCAAAGCCAGGGACGACCAACGAGCGATTATTTCTTCAAGTCACTTCGGCAGCTCCTGTTAGGCTCTGTCTCGTGTTGAATACCTAAGGTTACCAGTTATTTCTTCTCTAATAAAGACAATATTGTATATACTCCATGAGCTACATAAATCAACACAACAAAACATCCAGAACCTGCCTAAAAATTTGTTTTCATACCTTCCACTGGCAGTATTCTCATTGCGAAAATTCTTTTGTCCTCGCCAGCCTTAGCGGGACAAATCATATCACGAGGTATGCCCAGGTCATTCGCCAGTTCCATCCACCAGATACCCTGTGTGGCTGTTTGGTAACTCCTGATCAACAAGTGTTACATTATAGTGTTGTAATAATATGCTTACTTAAAATAAAAGTTAAAGATTAGAAACCTACCCTACTATTTTATTAAGTTTCATTTTCATAACACACTGTTAAATTAAATCTTATCTCTGAGATTACCTAGCCACAACAATTAAAATTTATTAAATTTACAAAACTATTACAAGCTTAGTTAATTTACTAGCCGCTATCACGTCAAAGGTCAAAAAAACAAATTAACGCAGAAATCCTTTAACGATAATTACTTTTTCTTTTGTAAAAAGTATCGAAGGCCTCTTATGAGTCTAAAAATCAATAAAAGCAAATAAAATACTATAAAGGTGATTAAAATAATTACTGACTCGAAATTAGATGGTAACAGGAACAGCTTGCAATGATACGCTATATACAGCGGTACGTTATATGTTTCCTGTGGTGCGATTACCGCCAGCCGCATTTTGTCATCGAAGGGGTTTGTTAGAGAACCTATGAGTTCCATCCCTACAGCTTGTAGATCAGTCTTCTTATAGAATAGTTCTAATGCATAAGATGTTTCGTTCCGGATCTGTAAAATTTATTATTAATTTGATTTCTTCTTTAAGTTAATCGTATATCGAAGTTCTTTTTTCATTAGTCACTAGTAAAGGTAAACCGTGTAAAGGTAAATACATTTTTTACTATTCTTAATTGATACAATTACTTTGAGGATACTCTTGCTCTTTGTTCCAGAACTTTAAATTGGCCTTAACCTGTCTGTGTGCTAAATTTACCTGCAACGGTGATCGGACCACTATCTTCTTATTATTATATTTAGATGTTCTTTCAACCACAATATAGTATCTCGTTGAATTCTTACTGGGATGCAACACGTGCATTTTTGATGCGCTGCGTTGAGGACATAGGATCTGTTATCAGAAACAATAAACAGTAGTTCATAAGCTATATATTATTTTAGATTCATTTCGTGAGTCTGTCATAAAGTTTCTTTACTTACTGTAAGATTATCTAGATCATGCAATCTGACGGTTAGTGTCATGTCAGTAAGTTTAGTGTGCAGTACCGAAGGTTGTGTCGGTGGGGCTGGTGACCAAGCGCTGGGAGGCGGGGCATATGGTGATCCACCAGCAAAACCACCCTCAAAACTGTAAAACGAAATCATGAGGGTAGATAAACAATCATATTGAGGTTGTAACATGAAATCTGCTAAAAAGCGACTAACCAATCCCACTCATCACTGACATCCGTTATTTCAGTTTTAGATTTTATCATCGGCTCATCTAAAATATCAGCTGATGATGTGTCACAACCTGTAATCAATGATGACGTCAAAATCTTCTCATTACTCAAAGAATATAATACAAATATTTTTAACATTTGAAGATATACTCAGTTCATTGTTTATCTGATTTATTCATCATTTACCTGGCGTGCTAGGACGGCTGGTATCAACATCATAATCAGCTATCGCTATAATTCTTTCGTTTCCAGCTAAATCTGTTTCTGCTTTGGTTTTTAAATGAACAGTTGATCCGGGTCCTAAAAATGAAGTCGTCATTTACACTGTGATCTTTTTATTATTTCTTATGTAAAATGTTTAGGATTGTATAATTTTGCTATTCAATTTTAACGTCTTGTCATTAAACTTACCAATATCATTAACAAGTAGTAGTCCACTTTCACTGGTAACTATGGCAGTAACTGCAGCAGTTCTGTCTGTGCAAGCGGCTGCTAAATCCAATACACTCTTGGCTCCAGCTGGAGTGATAGTTACATTAAACATGTCCCTGGCTTCGATTGCAATATAAGTGCAGGTTTTGTCCACAAAACTTTCAATATCTAGACCTGAATCTACACTGTCTTCTCGAACTGGATCCTGCAAATTAACAAAAAATTACAAAATAGATATGGCACAACATATACATAAAGATAAAAACGTATAGTGTAAATAAATCTTCGCTACTGACTAAATTTCTAGTGCTGACAATTGATTATCATGGGATTATGTCGTAAAAAAAAATAAAAAAATGTTTTCTCTTTCACGATAGAAAGAGCAAATGGCGAGTAACCTTCCACTATAAAATTGCCATGCCTAGGTGATGTTAGGACTAATACCTTTGTCTCACGAGCCCATAAGGTTTGAATAACAGAAATGATTTATTTTTGTAGTCATGAAACTAGAACAAAAAACTAAAACACTAACCTGTAGTGTGACCGTCTTATGTTCAGCCTCCTTCTTGCTTTTAGCTTCTCCTTCTGTGAAAGTAACTGCTTTCTCATTGTCTTCATGATCACTGCCAATTTCTACCTCACTGTTTTCAGGGGCTGAAGAATCTTCATCATTACTACCTTCCTCAGCACTTGAGTCACTATAATGGAATTTAAATTAACCTATCTTCAAAAAACTTGATCCAACTGAAGTGACCCCGGCTAAGTCTCGTTTTTGTTTTATATTTCAACATAATTTACTTTAATTTATAGGCATTTATCAGTGAGATTTATTTTCTCTTTACACATAACAAAACTTCAAAAATGACAAAGTTGGCGACGGGCCTGTTGTTCTAGTGGTTAGTACTCCTGACTGCTAAGCCGGAGGTTGTGGGTTCGATTCCCACCCAGGACAAATATTGTGTGATGAGCATGATCATTTGTTCTGTGTCTGGGTGTAATTAATCTATAATATTTATGTATTTAAAAATATATAAGTATGTTTGTCACCAGTCTGGTCACCATAGCACAGGCTCTGCCTAGTTTGGGATCAGACGGCCGAGCGTGAAATGTGTGAAGTATATTTAAAAAAAAATTGTTACAAAGCTTTAGTCCACTTACTCAGTAAACAAATGCCCTATAGCTGTTGCTAGCTTGTCCATAAGACCACTCTCATTTTCTGAATCTGATTCATCTGCTTCTAGCAATCCCAAGAATGACATATGTCCTGCACTAAAGTCAACATTATAATGCTTGTTTTCTCTTCCATTTGGATTCCTAATAAACGTCATCTCATTGTCAGTATCGCATTCATCAGCAGAGGTTTCAGATTCAAAACCGTTCCTCTTCTTTGATTTTCTAGATTGGTCTGATGCAATTGAAGAATCAGCTTCAGTTTCATGTTGTATTGTTGAGTCTAAGCGTGCCGACATTGGGTAAGCTTTTGACTGAAAAAATACACTCCTGTTAACAAAGCTAAACCGGTTTATGATACCCTTTCTCAAAATTCTTCTCTCTCTTTCTGAAAGGGTTCCATAAACTAGACACAAATACAGTTTTGACAAAGTAACTAACCTGGAATAGTGTAGCTGTCATCTCCCAAGGTCTATAAACATTCTCATGTTGAACCACCGGTTCAATAAGGGGTTCCCACGCATCCACTTTCTCATTGTAACACGAAGCCAAGATGCTTAGAGATGCCGTGCCATGAAGTTGTTGTGACCAGTCATAGAGAGACAATTCTGTCTTCATCTGAAGTGAAACAGATTTGATTATTAAAGTAAAGTAGATATTTCTACTACTTTAATCGCTTTGTTATAAAAAAAGCCGTGTGGTGTCGTGGGACACCCGATAGGAACGAAGTTGTGACGATCGAGTAAAACTGATTCGACACGATTTTAATTACAACGCCATCTATGAAAGCGGCTATTACCTACATATTTTTCAGTTGGTTTCTAATTAAAACAATTTATACATTGGTAAAATCTCCTTGAGAAATGATTTCCTATCTATTCGATAGATGGCGCTGAATGACTGACAAGTGACAATTCAAAATAAATACTGAGATGAAAAGTAATGATTTCCTATCTATTCGATAGATGGCGCTGAATGACTGACATAAAAAGTGTTGTTAAAACTTTTCGTGAGATTTTTTTGCGTCTAGCCCCCTTTCACAACGCGCGATAAGGAACTTCGTGCCAATAATATCAAGACCTGTCGGCCTTATAGTAGTTACAGTATACAGTTAGGCAACTTAACTTTTATTTATTTATTTAAAAATACAAAGGCTAACACAATACCGTGGTTAGTGGTCACAGAAAGGCAATATCGAAAATAATCATAGTTGTATATATAGGGTTTTTTTCTTACTAGCTTTTGACCGCGGCTCCACCCGCGTGTATGTCGGCTATCGCGGTATAAAAAGTAGCCTATGTTACTCACTGATAATGTACCTTTAAATACCTTTAAATTGGTGACATACTCACTTTCACATTTATAAGTAAGTAAAGTAAAGTATGGAAGTATGGACATATAAGCGTTTAACCCAACAACGATAATTTAACACAAATAGCAATATCTGGTGGGATTAAGAATATAGAGTGTCACCATCTTTATTCATCCCGTGGGTGTCGTAAGAGCCCACTAAGTGAGAAAATTACTAAGGACTGCAAAGAGAAGGAAAACTTGACACAAACCCTATATCCACCCGTCTGGCCAGCGTGGTATGGTAGGCCCAAACCTAAGAATCTAAGAAGAGGCCTATGTCCAACAGTGGACTATTAAAGGCTGTTGATGTGATGTGATGTGAATGAATGAAATGTGACCGCGCTTCGGTATGGGCCGGCTCGACCGGGGTGATTCCACGACCTGGTATCACTTGATAAGCAATTCTTTCGTTGATTTTCACCGAATGACTGAGTTTACCGTTGGCCCAACCCCCCTGATCCTGGGAGAAACTCAAAGCGTGATAATGCACTTGTGACTCTTGAGTTCCAGGTGACGTATTGACGTTAACATCCTATACCAGGGATTCCCAATCTATTTTGGGCAAGAGACCCCTTTTCTAAATGAATTGATACCTCAGACCAGTCAAAGTAAAGTCAAAGTCAAAGTAAAATGCTATCTCTAGATTTTTTTCCAATTGATACAAAATACTTATAAATTAAAAAACTTTTCCGTTGGTTAAGTGAGTAAACTTGACATCATTTTCTCATCAAGATGTAACAAAATATATAGACATATTAGTCAGTCTTATGACAAGTTGGTACACGTAACACAACTTATACAGTATCTTAAAAGTTTCAAATAAGAACTTGTGTTTATTAAAAGGGGTCGATTTCTAGACCTCGTCGACTCCCATACTCGGTTTTCGTTTATTTTAATCTTCCCCAAGGGGTCAATATTGACTACTTTGGTAAGCCCTACCCTACACCATAAAAATATGAGATGTAGTTTGGGAGATTTATTTTAAACAAGCCTCGGTTTTATGTAAGTTTCTTGTGAATTAAACTCACTTACATTCAGTAATGTTTCAATAGTTTGATTGAATAGTTACCTTACACATCAACACGGGTACTCTGATCGTGTGTTCTATCTCAAATATCAGTCTGATACATGGAATAGTCACAGTGAAGCTTTCACTGGGTCTCATGCACGGGTACTTCGGTTGAGCATAAGTGTACTCAGGGTTTAGCGCCACGTAAGGGGTTAACTTCTTTGGAGACCACATATCTTCATCTTGTTTTTCCGTTTTGGGGTATGTTGCGAAATTGAAAAGTTCTTTTTCGTCAGGGATCCCAAGCTCCGATGTTATTTCTTCGATAATATCTGTTGAAAAGTTTTATGTAATTTTTTTATTCCTAGTTACTTATTATTGAATGATTTTTAGCTTTAGCAAGCTACTTCATTCATGTTAAATTAATGTTTCGATCACACTAGATAACATTTGCCGATTGCACTATACGTTACAACTTGTATGCAAATTTTATAATGATCCGAAGAACCACTGTTCATCTGATCATCACATAATACAAAGAAACATTGATTTAATATACATTCTCATTAATTGAGTTTTGGTAATAAGGATGCAAAAATTAACCAATGATTCATGAATATTCTTACCCACGACTGTGTGAACTGTAGTCGCAGCAATATGAACTTCAATATCTGAAACAGATAGCTTTACTCTGACGCCTTCTTCAATATTCTTGAAAGATTTTGAGAACTCCACATCACAAGGTTTTAAAACGATCTGTGGGGGAAGATTCTTCAGCTTTGACTGAAGTTTCGACATGACCTGTAGCCCTGCTAAAGAGACTACTAAAGACTCGTTGTTGGAATGACAAGAGTAGTCAATGAGCAGTTCTGTTCGAAGGAGCAGAGCATGACCTTCAGTTTTTGTGAGATCTGTAAAGAACATAATCTCTGGCTGTCGGAATTGGATTGATATTGACAGGCCTGGCTGTTCTTCTGATACTGAATTTGCTGAAAAAAGAAGAAATACTACACTAAATACTTTTGTTTTAAAATTACAATCTACAAGACACGAACACATATTTTAACCTAATATTCGCTCGGTTGTTCAATCAAAACTCACCTGCGGAAAAATATCCACTGGTAGAATCGTTAGAGCTTGGTAGTCTGCTAGCACGATTGTTATTACCAGGTTTAGATGGATGCATGTCGCCAACATAACCATGATTGACCACACCTCCTTCCATAGTCTTTTCACCTATCATTAGAAAAGAACACACTTTAGTAGAGTAGAGTAAATTGGCCGTAAGAAACCAGATAGACGGATAAATTTTAATCTTAGGACATACGGTATTTGATTGGAAATTGTTTGTCATGACTGCTTATATAATATATCTTATGCTATAGTTAAACCGCCGTAAGGCTTGGCCCTCCTGATGGTTTGGGGGACGCGGGGCGGGGGTGCATTCAACCAATTAGCTAGTGCGTCGCTGTCCGCCGGCAGTGACTGACGTGAAAGCATGGCTGTACGTGTTATTTATTTTATTTATTTTCTTAAGACTGCTACACACGGTATTATTTTGCAACATGGATAATCTGCCGACTCTGCGTCACAAAAAGATTTAAAAACTTGAAGTTCGGCTTACAGAGGTTCTACTGTTAAAGTTCTAATAAAGAATATTTATTATTTTACTTAATTTTTAAATTGTATCTGAATATAATTTACATGATAAAGATAAGGTGATTTTATTAAACTTATTTTACAGTATTAAATTTTACAATTAATCATAAAAACTTACAATACACTGGCATTATAATACATGGAAATAAATTCGATTTTTATTACATCGTGTGTAGATTAAATCTCAAACAAATAAATCTGAAGATATCGTGTTAGTACATCGTTTCATGTATAGCCGAGCGCATCACCCGCCCCGCGTCCCGCAAACCATCAGGAGGGCCAAGCTTACGGCGGTTTAACTATAGTTTGTTTTGACTTTGGCACTCAAGTCATTAAAACGATAACATCCGAAAATTAAAAGATACAGTGATACGCAAATGATATGCAAACATAAAAAAAACAATCAGAATCATATTTAAGACTCACCGGGCATAGCATCCAGCAAAGTCCTTGCCAATTGCAAAAGGAATGGTAACGCCAAATTGACCCTGGTCCTGTCTACTCTCACGTCCGCATGTCGTGCTCTAGCACCAGTAACCCTGAGACTTGCGTCGATAAGAGGAGGACGACGAACTGAAATACATGCATCGTGAGCACCTGAAGTACCACCTTGGGATTGGAAAATCCTGCAAGAAACGAAATTTGTTTTAAATAAGTCACTAATTAATGGAGAAGAAAAAGAAGAATTTGTCCTCTTACCTCTTAATGAAAATTCTAGGATCAGGACGGATGTCTTCTACGAGTAGACTCTGAAGACTAGCTTTCAGTTCTATGCTGCTATCAGAGCTGTACTCCAGTTGGAATGTCGCTTCCCCAGCTGTGAGCATTGCTAGACCTTCATTTAGATCTCTTACTGGCGAACTTAAGACCTCGTCCATGTCAGAGAACAGTTTCAACTCGAGACCATCGAAAATAAATCTAAAATAATATGAATAACTGTTTAATAGGACTTCTTCTCCAGGACATTTCTTGAAAAGAAAAATATTAAATATTAAAGACGATACAAGATTAAGTGTCCTCTACATATAAGATTTTTTGCTTACCTGATCACTGCTTCTTTTCGAATAGGTTCTCCTTGGGCAAAGAAAGCTTGGAGCTTTTTTACAGAGGCGTCAGACGGTGCTGTATCTACTGGAGAACTCGGTACTACAGTCCCTGAAGAAAATAAACTCTATATTATTAAAATTCAAAATTATGATTAACTGCTATTAATTCGACTACCCTTGTGGAAGATAGATAAAGAAGGCTCTTTATTTTCTTAATTCCCACATATCAAGAAGTCGAATGATAATTTACAAAGTAAAAGATACATGATGGGACGTAAAATTGAGTACATACTCAGTTTTAGAAAGCTCTTAAAATATGGTTCTGACACTGCTATTGCAAAACAATTGTGTAATGTCCGTGTGGTGATAGATTAGGAATACGGAGTGTCACCACCCATATCCAGTGGTTGTCCTCAGAGCCAACTAAGTGAGCAAACTACACAGGACAACTGCACTGCAAAGAGAAGAAAAACTTGAAAGAAATCCTGTACCAAACCGTCTGGCCAGCGTGGTATAGTACGCCAAAACCTCTTTTCTAATGAGAGGCCTATGTCCAGCAGTGGACTGTTAAAGGCTGTTGATGATGATGATGCCCACTTTTTTATTAATGCACTTCAATATTAGTAACACTTGCGTGACAACTCTATTTTACAAACGCCCATCAACGCACATCATCATTACATCAACGGACTTAAACAGACCACTGTTTAAGTCCGTTGATGTGATGAGATGGAATAGGGGTAGTTTGATACAATGGATACATTTTTCTAAAAGGGTAATTTTAAATATTTTTTTAACTAACACTACCTATTGTTTTAAGTTGTAAAGAATCTTTATTGGGTCTAACTTTGTTTAAAAAGAGATGAAGAAAAAAGATGAAAAAGATTTTCTTTTTAAACCAACAATGCTAAAGATGGCCTATTGAATTTTTGTTTGTTCAATCAATACACCTTTCTCTGCACATAAGCATAATCCGAGCGTCTTTTTAGTTTTTTATTAACACGCAAAATACATCAACGCCAAGTCACACACAGAAAGCGTGTTTATTGTATGTACCAAAATAATATATTTTGTGTCACTTTTTTGCCAACCTAAGTGTAAACTTTAATGAAGTTCTACTTCCGTAATAAGAGTCCATTTGGAAAACTTTGGGACGTTTATTTTCAGTAAAATTGCCTTACCAATATAATGTCCCTCGCTGAGGTTGTCAGTCCACACAGCCATCATGGTGGCCAGGTCTTTCTGTCCAACGTTGAGCAAGACAGTATCCACGACTACATTTGCTTCGCACGCGAGGAGCTCGCGGTACGCGCTGATAGTGACCAGCTGCTGATAGCTCACCACACGCTTCATGTCGCAGTGGATTGACACTGGTTCTAAGATTGGCTCCTGATGACCAATTTTACTAATCATTATTAAAAACTAGATATTCTTTTTAAAGTGTACTGGGTTTAGGTGGGTACGAATATTGAATAATCATAAGTCAGGGACTCACTGGGATACAAGGAACTTATAAATGTGCCTTATAAACTTATAAACCTATAGTGTTACCTAGACCTAAACTAAGCATAACCTTTATGTGTTTAGGAACATGGAGAGACATACTTAGCTACATTTTTAAATGCTTACACGTACACATCGTAAGTATTTCATCAACATAAGAATTTACAAATAGGAATTCACAGACATTCGACCACAGGAAATCGATCAAATAATGCAATAATACCATTTAAGTCTAGACTCAAATAATAATAATTGTTACAAATTCTTCCTCTCCCCCAACATTGTGCTGTGCCCGACAGGGTCCATAATTGTAGCTTAATTTTAACCTTGACATCTGTAAAACGTTATGGAACGCAATAGATATATGAAGTATTAAGTATTTTTATGCATCCAACAGCTATTGGGTCGTGACCCTTATAGTTATAGTTTCTCTACTGTCGTGCCATAAAGAAATTCATGTAAAAAATTTTTGGGTTAGGAATAATTTAAAATATAGTAAATCTTTTTAAGGAATCCAATGGCAGTCAAGTTTAATTCTGTTCTTTGCGAATTATTTACATCCCTGGGATTATCAAGTGGATTTTTCGGTAAAAATCTAAGTGCGTACAACTTACCTGCACCTCTAGCGTTCCAGCTAAAGTCATAACGGCTCTGGAGAAAGTGAGTTCCCGTAGTTTAATGAGTATGTTGTCGATGATAGGGTTCTTAAAGGGGCTGGTTACTTCTTGACTTGTTGTGAGTTGCTTAAAGAAATTTTCGATGGAAAGGTCACCTGGAAGATGAAAAATATAATAATAATAATATTTTCACACATCTCACACACGGCTGTCTGATCCCAAACTAGGCAGAGCCTGTACTATGGTAACCAGACTGCTGATAAACATACTCATATATTTCTAAATACATACATATTACAGATAAATTACACCCAGACACAGAACAAATGACCGTGTTCATCACACAATTATTTGTCCTGGGTGGGAATCGAACCCACGACCTCTTGCATAGCAGTCAGGGTCACTAACCACTAGACCAACAGGCCAGTCAATGTATCGATGTAACGTTATTGTATGACGTAAGATCCTCCGATTTAAAAATCCGAATGAATAATATTAAAAATCAGTTAATGTAATAAAAAAACAGACAACTTTTGAGTGCCAATTGAAGGAAGAGTTCATGGGCGGCTAAAAACGAAAATTAAATTAATTAATGATCGACAATTTGTTGAAAGATCTTATGAACTTACCTATATTTAGAACCAAAAGATTAGGTGATGAAGGTTTCTGAGGCAGCAGCAACACTGGTGCATGAATCTGCATAGAAAATAGTAATTATTATTTAACTGTTAAGAAAACTAAGAAATGACAAGTCTCTGTGTCGTCTCGAACCACATGTCGATCATACCGGTACGGCACCCTGAACCATATAACTATTCAAGCTACTATATTTTCAGTACCATGTCCCCATCCAAGACTTGCGCCATCTAATTCCCTCGACCTATCCGTTCCCCTTAACTCAATTTACCTACTTCTTTGTCCTGGCTGAAAACGATCACATTCCCAGGATGACTAGTATCAACTAGGCGGCCACCCATAATAAAGGATACCAGCCAAAACCATTTGCAATACACCGATCCCAAATACAATTAGATAAAGGGTATATAAAGGATGGTGATTAACAAAGCTAGCGACTTCGAACATACCTCAATGACAAGGTTTAATCTTGTACTCCAACTGCGGATACCTTGAGCCTGCTTCTCAGCAGCACGTTCTGCTGCCAATGCTGCTTCGGTAGCTATGGAGCTCGGTATCAGTGGCTCTAGGAATTGCTGTAAAGAAAGAAAAGATCAGGCCGTTTGAATCATTCATTTTAAAAATAACTTAGTGGATTTTAGATACATTGTCAGAAATGTTCTATGTTATTTTGTGCTTTATTCTGCGTGCATGTCTTTTTTAGCAAATTCAGTATCAGAAGAACAGCCAGGCTTGTCAATATCAATCCAATTCCGACAGCCAGAGATTATGTTCTTTACAGATCTCACAAAAACCGAAGGGCATGTTCTGCTCCTTCGAACAGAACTACCCATTGACTACTCTTGTCACTCTAACAACGAGTCTTTAAGTAAAGTTTTAGGATTTAACTGTTGGAAATAAGATTCAATAATTTCTTAGATTTTATGGATCCGGTCAGTTTGTGAGACTGCTTTCAAATTATCATCACAAAAGCGTTTATAAACTCGACTTTGGTATTCTCTGAAGAAGGTAATACTGGGTGATTACAGGCAACTTTAATAGCTTAATCAAAATTCATGAAATACCGAACGTTAAGAAAAATACTTGCAGTTATAAATACCTTATTTGGTCGGATTATGACCGACCTTGCAGTTAGAGGTAATTTAAATTGAATGTCGACACAGTATGTCGTTTAAGTTGATGTAATTGCAGGTGATGACATGTACAGCATTACCTGCAGATGGTGCGCGACGCAGCAGAAGAGGACGAGGTAGAGGCGCCCCACGAACACGCGCAGCTCACCGTGCGCCTCCATGGCGCGGCGCTGGTCGGCGTCGCCCGCGCCCGCGCCGTACACCCGCGGCGCCGCTCGCACGTACTTAAGCTCTACGACCTTGTCCTCGTCCGGCCACACCAGCTACGGACATCACACCAGAGATTTTAACCAAAAAGCTGGCTGTTGAGAAATAATGTATTAAAACTATCATTATGAGATTCTGTGGGAATTTCTGCATTTAGGAAAAACTAATTACATTATGATTGTTAAGTGAATATACATACACAGCCAGCCTCGTTCAGTTGTATCGTTTGAAATCGGTATTTCAAACGATAAAACTGAACGAGGCTCTTTTGATATTGGGAAGACAGTATCTTCACGATGCATATTATTCTGATGTAATATATAAATGAGAAAACTAACACGACAATGAAACAGAGGGAGATTGAGAAAGCAAATAAAATTAAATAACTGAATTTGACCGTGGTTTAAACAAAATTTTCGATATTTTACCTTGGGATACAAAGTAGCTTCAGATAGGTCATCGACGTGTAGTGAACTTAAGTACAACTTAAAAATCATTCGATCGTTAGCGCGGAACACGCAGTCGCTTTCCAAAGTGGTTAGTCTTATTTCTAGCATCGACGTCTCCAGATGGCATAATTTCATAGATATTGAGTTTGCTCTGCAAGAGGGATAGAGTTTTACGATCATTAAAGTAATCATCATTGCACGTTAAGTAATTAGTTTGTCTACATGTCTCTAACTAAAATGGCAAAAAGTTGCTGATAGAGGACAAAGCCTCGGCCCTAGATTAAACGAATATATCACGGATCCCGGATGTCTTAATAAAAGCTGTTCCAAGATCAGATTGTGTAATTGTAAGTTTAAGTAGAGTCGTAGTAATTGCCCCAACAGATTTCTACTTTTTCAAAATTTAGAAAATTTTCTAAGTGGGAAAAAATCCAACACCCTAGAGGCAGTACAAAACGCTTTAGCTGACTTCATCGCCTCTCGTCCAGCATCGCGTCCCGTTCATAGGTAAAGACCTAATGTCATTGGTACCTTCTGGTGTAGATAATTTCTGGATCAGACACAATAAGAAGCTGCGAGAACGACAATAATTCTTGGATGTGCCATTACCTGACAGAGTAGCTGAACTTTGTAGCACCAGGTGGAACGGGTGGATCGGCTTCTGGCTGTATCATGTAATCCCATAGAGACTGAGTCTTAGGCAAAACCACACTCCTCAAATTTAAAGTATGGCGATTTTGGATTCTGAAAAACATTTTCACACACAATATGTAGTTAAAAGTAAAAAAGTAGCTTTGAAAAATAAATTACCGCACTGAAGTCTCTCAGCTTAATTTGGTAAATAATAATATTTTTTACAACGTTTTTGAGTTTGTTGTTTTCACACCCAATTCACGTTAATATCGTTATCATTTCCTTCTGCAGATTGACTTAACTGTATATTAATAGCCGAAGTATTTAAGGCCAAAAGTATAAGAGAAATAAGGGTGTCAATTAAAACTAACACTGAAACTAATAGTTCACCTAAATTTGTTTTTTCCATCTGATGATTTAGATACAGTTCTAATGTATGATTGTCATGAAGATGATACACACACGACAGGTGAAGATGTAGCAAAATAGAGACAATTGTATTTAGTAGATGACTTGTTCCTCCAAGTCTATATTTAATTAATAAAGATTCTTGAATTCATAATTGATTCACTGATAAGCCTCGTTAGCGATAATGAATGATATGATAGTGATTGAAATGGAATAAATAATTATTATAAAAAGAAACGACGCGACGAGATATTTCTTGACAATAATTATAACAAGAGGCAGCAAAAGTGTGAAATTCAGACTATAGTTGACGATAATATTATATAATATTATATTATTTTATATAATATATAATATTATTTTTATGGTCCTTTCCTCAAAAGGCCTATCCAGACCCCACACTGTACTCGCACAGTTTTATTTAACTTTGTTTACGGACTTAAAAAAAAAAGACACCTCTGTGGTTTGTTTCGGCGTTTCTTCCCAGAGTGAGTCTTAGGAAATGCCGGCTCCTTCTAGCTATAAAGTCAGACTTGTAAAAATATCTGAAAAGATTTACTTACAGAAATAAATATAATTTATCATTTAATGTAATACTCGTAGTAGAGATAATAATACCGATGTATTTATAAATACGTTAGCTATTTTTAGTTATGTTGAAGTAAGAAAAACTTACTTATCGTAAATATATTGGAGATATTTGATAAGCGTCTGTAGAGCCACTGCATGTAACAGCAATGAGAGTTTGCCGAGGTCGGCTACCAGAGCCTGTTCCACGCTATGGAAGTGGGAACGAAACTCGGGGCAGTCGGCACGCACCTGAAATACGTATGTAAATATTAATAGTGCTTCAGTTCTGTCAGTTAGTCTGGCTGACGTTATTTCTCTAGGGAATGTTTATTTCAATTACCATATATTCCCAATCACCAGGCTACATTCGAGCCTGCATTCAATGACACACACGTTTGACATCTATAATCAGATTTCGCTACTACGTATATTGAATCAAGCAAAATGGTGTTGTATGTCCCTCCAATACAAAGGATGGATCATGCTTGGCGAACCGCGGCTCACCGGGTGATTTTTGGAATTTACATTTATACTTATATATACTGGCCGGCGTGAGGACTTTCTTCGGTGTGTCTTCGTTTCATGGCCCTAAAGTATGTTTTTGGAACAAAGTTTCTTACCGGGCGTTACACGCTCTGAGCAGGTGACTGAAAAAATGTGTAACAAGACTTTTCCGACACTTCTTGCTATATTCCGACCGGGACCGGGAGTCCATAGACCCCTCAGGCCGTTTTTTCATTGTATGTAGTATTCACATCAATTTTATGTACTATGTTAATACTGTTATGCATTTAGATTAATTCGTTACTAAACTTTCTCATCAAAAGCAAAAAAAAACTCCTTTAATAGGATGACTTACTTTTCTATACAACATATTGAAGAGTTCGCCAGAATTGGTAACCAGTTCCAAGTACTGCCCTGTACTGCTGTGATGCTGTTTGTCTGTCAGTAACACTTGACCAACAGATAACTGGATTGCTGGGCCGTACTCCATAAGAGCTATTTCCAGGCACACTTTTGTGATGCTCAACATGATGTAGGGCTTTTCAGATTGGTCGGTGGAACGAGCGAGGTTGATGACAATTTCACCTAAAAATGAACATTCATTACCGAATGTACCAAAAACGATTGCTTTAGATCTTCAAGATAAAGGGAACCTCATGTAAAAGCAATAAGTGATCATGGTTGTTTAAATGTTATGAAAGTTGCTCAAAATTACTAATGTCATTACATTTAATCAAGTTTATTTATTTACAACTTTATGCACTTATGTACAACGGCGGGCTTAATGCCCAAGGCATTCTCTACCAGCCAACCTTTGGGGGGTGTAGAAATCTGGTGAGGTAGGTGCACTGAGGTTGCAGTTTGCTATAGCAGTTATGACTAACATATACAATTACACACATACATGCACACATATACATATATAGATATAAATACACATAAAATACATATACTTTATAATTTACAGTTATGACTCAGCTTGACTTACCAACTATAAACCTTAGCAACGTATTAATATTGTTGCTAGGAGACATGTTGTCCTCGAATCCTGGCAGGTCTACTGTCCTAGCGTATATCTCCATGTCCTCATCGCTATGTTCAGAAGTCGCGGACGCTTGTTGTGCCGCCTGGAAGCCTGTCTTTGCATCGGCTTTGTCGAATGTCGTCTCTGCTGCCCTGTATGCAACAAAAATATGCAATCTATACAGATCATGTATAACCAACAAGTTTGAATTTAAAACCAAATTAAGCTTGCCACGAAATAGTGTGATTGTTTCTAAATTTTTAAGAATAAAATTCGGAAATAACTTTGTTGTTCAAGTTCAAATCTGGAATAAATTCGGAACAAGTCAGCTGATGAAAATGCTGAAGTAGATTGGATTTTTTTCCTGTCCCTTCTGAAAACGAATACGGTATTTTTCCTTTCACTTCTGAAAATGATTATATCGGAGGCTGGCTAGGCAAATAACAAGTCAAACACTTTTGCAATGTTACATAACGTAACGACTCCAAATACCAGTGAGAAAGTGACAAGAATTCGATGTTTTTCTTCTTTCTTTCTCGAGTAAGTTATTTTAAGAGCATAAGATTTAACGAGCATAATCAAAACAACCAAGTTAATCATCAGCATTCACTCACCTGCTCCTAAGTAAGTAAGCAGCAACAATCTTTTGACGCAGTTTAATCAGATCCTTGTATTCAGGGTCGGCAGTCACCTTGTCTATTACCAATAATTCCATAAGCTCCGGTTCCTCTGTATCTTCAGTATAATCTCCAGAATCCATAAAGGAGACGGGGACCGTGTTGGGCACAGGAACGGGTAGATTGTCACAAAAGTCCAGGAGAAGTCCGATGATACGGTCGGACAGGTTCAGTTTGAAACTCGTTATTGATATATTTAGCTTGTATCTATAATATAAATGTAAGAAAGATTTTAAGAAAGTTAGGAATAACTGACATAATTGTTCAAATAAAACAACTTCCGAGGTACATGGAGATGGCATGAAACCGTTTACAGATGAAGTGATTCTAGCCGTCAAACATGAGCATCTGATCAAGTTCGACGGTGGATGTTCTTTAGCTTATTCGAAAAGGTTTTTTTAATCAAGTTACTTTTATAAACTTAAGTGTTCATGTTAACTATTAATCAGTGTAGTATAAAAATATTTCTAAATGTTTCTTAAAAAACTTACTTTGGCAATAATTTGTAATCCTTTTTAATACTGTTAGAGAAAACCACTTGCATCTTGATTTTCGGTACGAGGTGTAGTTCGGAGTCTGGATGACGACGAGATTCTCGCCACGGCTCCGTCCATTCGCTGAATAGAATCTGGACAAATACGATGTTAGAGAATATCAAATGAAATAATAATTTATTTAAAAACTTGCATCTAAAAGGAATGGTTACATAGAAGAGAATTTCTTTTGTATGCCTAAGCTATGTAAAACCTTAACAATACGGCAAGCTACCACTTTTGTAGTGTTTAGTTTTAACCTTCCAACCCCCCCTTACGCTGTTTCTGGGGGGAGGTCTCCAAGACCGGCAAAGCACTTGTGACTCTTGAGTTGTAGGTGTCCAAAGGCGGCGTTCATCACTTACCATAGGATGTCCCGTCTACTCGTTTGTCCCCCAATACCACAAAAGGAAACACTTACTCGTATACTTACTCGTCGTATCTTCAGCAAACCTACAATATTTTAAGACAATATTTAAAAAAAAGTCTAATTTATTTACGTCATCCAGGTTTCACTGTTAAATATACTTTTGTTGAACACAATATAATATATAATTCATGTACCTGACAAGAACATTCAGCGTGTAGTCTGTCATACAGCCTTTCTTCAAGTTCCATACAAGTGGCGTCCTCCAGGGTCAAATGGGACGGATGCAGGTCGGATTTAACTATAATGCGGCTAATGTCTAAGATCATCACTCGCCCAGATCTGTGAAAGCAGAATGTATTTTTATTATATATATATCACACATCTCACACACGGCCGTCTGATCCCAAACTAGGCAGAGTCTGGACTATGGTAACAGACACACATATAAACATACTTATATGTTTCTAAATAGTTCTAACATTAAAGCCATAGTTACTCTATACAATGCTTTAGTGCGTAGTCAGCTAGAATACAACGCAGTCATCTGGTCTCCGCATCAGATTAAATATAGTCTCATGCTGGAGCGAGTCCAAAACAAATTTGCGAGGTTTTTATATTTGCGACTGTACGGGGTTTACCCATTTTACCCACTCATGTATCCGACTTTGTTCGTCTTGGGCATGGTCGGATATAACGAGCTTAGAGTCAGAAGGGACCTTAGTCTTGCCTCCTATATATTTAATCTACCAAGGGGAAAAATCCACGACAGCAATATATTAGGATTGGTAGGCATGTGTGTACCGGACGGGTATGTGTGGCGGCGACGCCGTCCGCCATTGTTGGCGGTGCCGCGCGGACGCACTAATTTGCTGAGCGAAGCGCCTCTAACGCGTGCGTTGCGCACCCTAAACCTAGTAGCCACAGATATCGACTTATTTAGCTGTACACTGAGTGAGTTCACAAAGACAGTATTATATATTATATGTTACAAAACAAAAAGTTAGAGGTAATGTAAAACAAGCATTTTTGTAATAGTTACGCTATCGCATTAGGATATACCTGTAATGATAGTAGTAAGTGTGGATACTAAATAAATAAATAAATAAATAAATAAATACATATATATTATAGATAAATTACACCCAGACACAGAACAAATGACCGTGCTCATCACACAATATTTGTCCTGGGTGGGACTCGGACCCACGACCTCCGGTTTAGCAGTCAGGGTCACTAACCACTAGACCAACAGGCCCGTCGTCGTTTTGTACAAGTTATTTACATAGATGGATAGGTAGGTACTTTTTGCTGCACACCATGGACAGAAAACATACAATGCAATATAAACATAAAATAAAAAAAAAAACAGTGATACAATGGGCGGCCTAAGCGCAGTCTGCGATCTCTTACAGGCAACCTTTATATGGATTAGCTTAGGAAACAAACACGCGGTTCGGTTACTGCTTCTTCTAATAAAAACTGGTCCTGTGATGGAATTCTAGTCGCGTCGAGTTTTTGGGGGTCGATACCCACACGGGATAATAATGGTGTGGTTCATAGTTGTCCAGTCTTCAAATAGCGGACACTCAGGTCCGCTGTTTGAAGTTTATAAAGTTCCAGTTTTTATTCCTAGAGCAGATAGTGTGTACAAAAATTAAGGAACATTTACTTATGGACACATCCATGCTCCGGTACGACGATACAAGGTCCTTTCACATCTACGTTCAGATGGAAAACCTTCCTCCTGCTTATAGCATACGCCAGGAGCGACCTGCTAACTCCTCCAGCTCTGTACATAGTATCCGATACTTCTGCAACCAACTCCTCAGATGTCATAGAGTGGGTTTGGAAGAAGTTGATCAGCTCTGTGATTGAATGCTGTCAACAAAGAAAATGTATTTTGCCATGATCTGTTATTATGATTAAAACTATCAACAGTAATGTTATGTAAACATTTATAGTTGTTTTGATCCTTTGCTGATGATATGATGATTCTGACAGAAACCTATCATCCAGCTACACCTAAGGGGTAAGAAAGTTTATATTGGTTTACTGGTCGTTTGAACAAGCTATACAACGATTTTTGTAGTGTGTAGAGTATTCATTGAGAAGCTATGTAACGTCACAACCCTTAAGAGTGGAGCACCGATCAAAACTTCTAAATTAGTGAAATTGCGCTGAATCCATACCTATATTATAAAAAAAGTGTTTGTTTGTTACGCTTTCACGCCAAAACCACAAACCGATTTTAAAAATTATTTCACCAATGGAACGTTACACATACGAGTATAGTACAGTAACATAGGCTACTTTTTACCGAGGTAACCAACAACGTTTAGAGCCGCAGGCAAAATCTAGTCATATTAAGAAGGCGAAAGTTTGCATGGATATATGGATGTTTGTTACTCTTTCACGCAAAAACGGCTCAACGGATTTTGATGACATTTGGCACAGAGATAGATTTTCGTCTGTAAGAGCACATAGGCAAAAAATGTAGTGTTCCCGTGGAATGCGCAGCCAGTCCTCAATAAATTTTAGCTACCTGTAAGGCATGCAAAACCACCTGCAAAACCAGGAGAGTAAACGATATCCTTATAACCTCGTTTCTTCCTTCTTACTCCTAACCACATAATGGATTTTTTATTTCATAACAGTCGCTTACACCATTTTTTTTATTTCTTATTCATTATCATCATCAACAGCCTTTAATAGTCCACTCCTGGACATAGGCCTCTCCTTAGAAAGGAGGTTTTTATTTCTTATTTATTTAATTTCAGGTTCGTACCTCAACGTAAACCATTTCCACGGGTTCCATGAGACAACACAGACCGTAATCGGCTTCTATATTGCAAGGGTTCTTCTCGATATCCAGTGCCAATAAATTGGAGCTGGTGACTCCTGTTCCACGTTCTGGCATGAGAAGAGGACCTAGGTCTCCGTCTGAAGTAACTCCTTCGATCACAACACACTCGGCTCGAGCTGATAGCTGGAAATATTGATTTATGAGCGTGTGAAATTTATCAAGCACTTAATTTATCAATATCGTCTAAGTTTGTTAGTCAGACTTGGTAGAAAGAAGCAGTATTCTTTCTTATAAAGTACTTAGACAATTTAACATACCTACATTGTGTTTTATTAGAAAATCAAAGTCAATTTAGTGGCTTCTTTAACTGTTTAATATGTCTGTCAAAGGCGAAAATAATTCTGTTTCTATTGTAAAACCGATGAATTCTTTAACTGAAAAAATAACAAATAGTACCTTGTAGGCCTTTGCCGACGGCCTCGTCTCCATGGAGGCCAGGAATTGAGTGAGGGTCACCACGAGAACCTCCTTACTTCTGTTCATCAATGTTAATGAGCAGTTCGCCAATGTTAAGTTTATTTTGTGCTCTGCAAGGAAGAGTATCGCAAATTAATTACTGGTAACTACAGTAAGACCGTCTGGTTTTTAATTAAAACATGATTTAGTAAAAACCATCTAACAAAACTACGCAGGATAACAGCACTGCAAAGAGAAGGAAAACTTGACACACACCCTATACCAACCCGTCTGGCAAGCGTAGTATAGTAGGCCAAAACCTCCTTTCTAAGGAGAGGCTTATGTCCAGTATCCAGTGGACTATTTAAGGCTGTTGATGTGATCTAACAAGATTTATATTGCCATAAACTTTAAGTTTGTGAAACGGATTCTGGCTCACAGCTTACCAATATACTGCTTTGATTTGTCGGGCTGTGGTGCCCCCTCCACGTAGCCGATGAGCTCACAGACACGTTTCTTCTCAGGACTCGACAGATGGCTCCACAAAGTCTTATTCCTTTCGCTTTTTACGCAGAGCTCCACATGACTCTTGGGCTCCTCTATGTCGCTCTCAACTGGAGAACTGCTCGGCTTCCACCAGTCGAATTCAGTTTCTACAATTTCTATGCGTTCCGGTTCCTGTGCTAGAAGCTAAACAACAATAAAATAACTTATTACTGAGAATCAATCAAAGAAATGAGAGAAAAAAAGAAGAAATGAGAGAGCTGTCAATGCCAATACGACAATTAGATACATTCATACCACAAAGCTAGTTAATACCTATCGGGATACCACACTGACTATGAAAAAAGGGAGGAACGCATGACAGGGCATTCAAAGAGATAGGCAATAACATCCGCATTCCATATCTAATCGATTGAGTCGATACGGACTTGGTAGTAAAAACCTACCATTCCTCCTTTCTGTTTCTTACTCCAGTAGTTAGTTTTATAGTGCTCCTATCTATTGCACATCTTAGAAACCAACGTTAAGACTGAAAAACTTACCTCAAATTTGGCCTGCTCCCTTGCAATGACCACAGAAACTATAGGGAGACTGTCTTCACATTTCTGCAGGTCCAACTTCAACTCAATGTCGTTGGGGCTCCTCAGCGTACTCTTATAGATCTGCTTGTAAGAGTTGTAAATCTCTCTGTGTTTTTTAATGGCAGCCCACGTGTAGGGTCTCACGCGCTGTTCCACCACGACATTGTACGCATAAATCCACCATTTCTTTATGTCCTTGGATAAAGGTACGCCAGGATGTAAATGGCGATATTTCCTGAAAAAATAACGTAATTTTTGGTATTTGAGCTTTCATATGAAATTTATTACTTTGATCTATATATCTTTGATATTAACTGGCTTCATTCACTTCTTGACTACCTACATATATGTATTAGAAAATAATTATTATTTTCCAGTTCTTTTTTCCCAATTTAATTAGAGATTAGCGCGATATTTAAAACTAAAAGAGTTGCTTTTAGGACAGGTGTCTTGCCAGGAATGTAATCGTCTTCAGACGAGGCAAGCTTCGCATGGCAAGCGGGACAGAGGCTCGTAGAACCCGGGTGTGTGGCACCTGCATGTTCATGCTAGTATTGGAGACCCTACTAAGAAAGGAACATACACTTGAACGTGTTTTTTACTAAATTATACAATTGTTTGCTATTGTCCCATGTAGGGCTCCAACACGCAGCACCCGACATAGAAGCAGTTAGTGAAATGTCTCAATAAATTGTCCCCATACACAATTTTTGAATACTTTGTACTACTCTTATGTTTAACACCTTAATATACATGGCAATGTTCGCAAAATAAACTATTTGATTTGAATTAGATACGTAATTTTTTTTAACTAAATCAAAAAGTTATAAATAGAAAATAATAACTAGGTATAACATTTACTGTACCTGTTTAATTTAATTCTCGTAAAGGATGCCAATAGGTTATTTATGGACAGATATTGACGTCGAGACAGCTGTAATGCACTGTCTTGAAGAACAGCATCCAGCAGCAGACGAGGCACACGAGCCTCACCCGAACGATTAATCAATACCTTCACTTTGCAGGTCACTGGTTTGAGCACTGAAATTGAAATTAAATACAGTGTAATGTGTTAAATTATAAACTAAAAATTAAAATTGGATATGTTGTTTTCTCAATTTATAGAGATGGCAAAAAAACAAAACCTCCTTTCTAAGGAGAGGCCTAAGTCCAGCAGGGAACTACTAAAAGTTGATGAAAATGATGACAGCATGCTATAAAATAGTACAAACACTTATACGATTAATAAAGTATCATTTAATATTACAAAGAAATCCAATAACGTTAATCTTTAATCAGATTAAAATAAACTTTTAAATGACTAGATTGATTTTGATAAAAAAAAATTGTGTGTGTTTGTGTCAGTCCTGATCGAAAGTTTAAAATGGTTTAGACACATAATAAAATTGGATTGGGTGAGCGACGCAGCCAATGGGTACCAGAATTCTTATTTTACTTTTAATCGAAAACTTTATGTGTGTGTATGAGTCTCTGCGACACTGCAACCATCAGATTTTTGGCCTAAGTTTCGTTTACACGATGACATACTAGCTCTGATGAGATAACAAGAAAACAGATGTTTATTATATTAAATCGAACCAAAAATAACTGTTTTATTTTCCCCCTTGACAAGCAAAGATAAGCCTTTAAAAAACGGCTATAATACGAATCGTTGTTTCATTAAGAATTGTCTTGATTCAATTATGGAGTAATGAACCGTGATATTCATGAAAGTACAAGTGCCTAACAAACACATTTATAATCTAAGGCCTCGGTATATTACAATTGTAGCTTATCATAAATGTGATGAAGTGTAGCTCAACTTAGCAATAACAAAACGTGCTCTGCATGAAGATTAAACTGTTGTGTATATAAAAGTAAAACAATCCTCGATCTCGAGACGGCAATATAGCCAGACTGCACGCATGGCGTAGTAGTTTAGGCGGTCACCTTGCCGCTTACTACTGCGCTGAGTGTTGTGGGTCCGATCCCCACATGGGACACCACTTTGTGTGATCCACAAATTGTTGTTCTTAGTCTGGGTGTTCCTTGTGTTCGTTTCATGTATGTTTGTAAAGTCCCCCGCGACGCAGGATATATTCCCAATTCGGGAGTTGTCTTTTATAAAAGAACAAAGATCTATGAGTACATACATCTGGCTTCAACCATGATGGATGTTTGCCATTCAATAATTTGACAAGGGCTGAAAGGATCTATATTTAATTTGGCGTAAAGATATACTATAGTCTATAATAGCATACGAGTATAAGCTATTTATATCCAGAAACACTTGATTGCCACAGTCAACATTAACACGACCGAATCTACGGACAAAACACGTTTTAGCACGCAATCTGCCACACCCTTATATTATCACATCAACAGCCTTTAATAGTCCACTTCTGGACATAGGCCTCTCCTTAGAAAAGAGGTTTTGGCCTACTATACTAAGTTCTAAAATTATTAGTTGTTATTTTTATTGCATTTTAAAACAAGCCCATTTTTACTTGTATGCATATTTTCATAATTAGAGATTTAGAATTAAAAAAGTTATGTGTAAAAAATAACATGATTATTTGAAATGGATGACCAGTAAAGTTCAATAAATTTCAGATTCGACTAATTTCAGACTATTCTACGACTATGAAGAATTACAATAAAAATTACAATACAACTTCACAATAAACTAAAGTTAATAACATTGAGTTTATTATGTGTTCATATTGATCACTACGTCATCTTTTTTTTTAATAATTTATTTAACTACCTAAGTATATACATAGTTCCTCAGTACCTACCTATTATAAATGCATTCCATACGTGCAATGCAACAATACTTACAAAACTCAAAATCCTCATGATGCATAGAAAACTTGTCGAGTCCAGTCAACATATAATGCTTCCAGTTATAGTACTGCATCGGTGTAATATGTGCAGTCTCGTTATCATCCAGGGCTGTGGCTGTGGGGTTCCAGTATGCTGACAGTGATTCCACACGCATCATCTGGTACACCGTGGACGCGTTTGGTGGAGTCACGGCAGGTTTCCATTTGCTGAAATAATTTTATTTTACAAGGGGTAAATTGTTGACGTTGTGTTGGATTTCCTTTAAAAACTTTTATGAATGTATGTCACGTATTGTCCTTATTCAATGGTTCTCTGAAGCTTTATTTAAGCTCATTAAAATTGTCAATATATTTAAAAAATGCTTACACAGACTTTTAGACAAGGCGAGGTAATAATAGCCATCTTCCACATTTAATAAAACCATTATAAAGTAACGCTATCCAAATTTTTTAGAACTGGGTTAATAAACTGTTTTTTTTTTTAATTTTTTATGATGCCACTTTACTAATAATGTAAACTATATCTCTGATCCACTAACCTGTTGGTAGTTTCAATAGACAGGCTCAGGAGGCACAGACCACACGCCAAGGGCCCATCCTTAGAGCTGATAGAGTCTTCATATCTTACGTGAACATTTCTGACATAAATTTGAATGTTGTTCACGATCGCCGTGAACAGGTGCTCAAAGAAATTTTGAGGACCTTTAAGGACCTAAAAATTAAAGTGCACATCAAGAAGAATAGATGAACTAATGGGTAGGCCTAATGGACTTGGTAAAGCTTGTGCTATGGTAATTAAACTGCTAATAAACATACTTATATATTTGTAGATAAATAACGAACAGATACAGCTTACTACACAATTAATTTGTTCGGGTTGGGAATTGAACCCAAGACTTCAACCTCCCAGTCACTTTTAATAATCAGTAGACCAATAGGTTAGTCATATATACAATGCAATAGATTAACTATACGTTTACCTCACTCTCAGCTTCCAAGTCCTGCAAAATTTTCCTCTTAGCAGCTCTAGTCAGCCGCTTCTCTCGATCAGGGTCGAAATGGCTGTTTGATATAGCTGGTCCTACTAGAACCAGTACATCTTCGATGTGTACCACTACGGGCTGTGTGTAGAGGCCAGTCCAGGGGATTTGAAGTCCTATGCGACCAATGGTACCAATTTTCACGTCTATTGGTAAATCCAGTTCATACTGCAACAGAAAGAGAACAATTCATGTTTAGATTGGTTGAAGAACTGATCTCTGCCCCCTCTATCATAAAAAATAGAAAACTAAACATTGAAACATTTGAAGACGATATAAATAGGTAGTGGGATCATCATCAACATCAACAGCCTTTAACAGCCCCCTACTGGTCCTCCTCAGAAAGGAGGTTTTAGCCTACTATACCACGCTGGAAAAACGGGATGGTAGTGGGATCTGGAGTAGAAATGGGGAGCGGCCAAACTGGATATGTAACTTCAACAGGTAGAAACCTATCAGAGAAAATTACACCATGACATTCTTTCCAAGTATTCTTTGTTGCTCAAATATAATTAAACAGCTGCAATAGAACACTACTACTACACTGCTCTAAGGATCATATGAGGTCAGCAAGAAACTAGTAATAAATCTAGTATTTATATTATTAATAGGGGGCAGATACTGCTTAACATCGAATGTTGTATATCATAGAAAAGCGAAAGGATCGAATACTCATAGTAAAGCGCAATTTCACCCAAACAGTTACAAATGGCTGGAGTTGACATCGCTTAAAGTGTGCACTGGATCTGTATCCTATAATAGTATCTAGTTAATGTTAATTTCTTACCAAAGCCTCAGGCTTAAGTTTGAGGTCGGTTAAGTTCACATTGCCGGAGAATATGCCCACGTTGAGGTTCTCAGTGTCTAGATCCTGCACGTATTTGCCGAGAAGCCGGTTCAGGATACCGGCGACCGCGCCCTCAAACATGGTGATCGTTTTTGGTGATCAACTGAAAAAGAAAGTTTAATGATATTAAAATTAATAAAATAGAAACTAAATACATGTTTTTTTTACAATGCTATATATAGCTAGAGACTTGCAAAGAAAGAACTTGTCAATAGAAGAAATTCAGCAGAAACCGAACGCGTTTGTGAGTTACAAAGGTAAAAGGTATTAGACAGCGTAGTCACAATGCAATCGGTAGTGCATAATAGAAAAGATTACGATAAAAAAATCGTTATCATTCTGAGCAAAGTTACAAATGTGTTTACAAGTTGCATTGTTTTTGCCATTGTTTTATGGAGAAGTGGATTAATGGCAATACGGCGGATACCTCTATAGGCTGACCCCGGTTTGATGCAAACACGGATGCTGGGGGAGATATCTGCCTTGTATAGACAGTCAATCTCTTTATAGTAGCGGGAACTATTGCAAATAGGTGTACTCTCTTAGCTGTAGTGGAGACTGCGTTATTAGTTTCGGATGGATCTTACTGAATGTCGTGATTCAGTAGATGGTTTGTAAAAGCGGTTGTACTCTAAGAAAAGGTAGTAGAAGGGCCTCTAACTGCTATCAGCGTGGGTCTGACGAAAACTAGAAGGGTTGAGTTACTGACTAAAATTATGACGGCAGCATTTCATAGTCAGATAATACAAAGTGAATCTAAAATTATCGACACCCAGCACCATAGTTGAACAAGAAATCGATGCTAAATAGACAGTGGTGGTCAAAGATGTCCCTGCTCGTCTGAAGGAATCATCACTATCTTCGCTAGTATTATTATTAGGAAATTGAGTTCCAAATAGTTAACATGAATATTTGCATATACGTTGTCAAAATTTGATATTTTAACTACTCATCAACAGCCTTTTGTAGTCCACTGCTGGACATAGGCCTCTCCTTGGAAAGGAGGTTTTGGCTTACTATACCACGCTGTCCAGACGGGTTGGTATAGGGTTTGTGTCAAGTTTTCCTTCTCTTGCAGTGTTGTTGTCTCTGTTTACTCCCTTAGTCGGCTCTTACGACACCCACGGGATGAATAGGGATGGCGACACTGTATTCTTAATCAGTCACCACACGGACCGCGAACGTGTTAGAATGTTACAACAAAAGATTCATTTTACCAATTTCTTAAGTCACACTTACACTTATTCTTAGGTGAAAAGTTTTTCGATATGCCCAAAAACACATTTAATTTATTACGAACAAACGTAGACATAACGTGAGTAAAACAGTATCGACAGAAAACAAAAACAAAACATTATTGAGTGTGTAATCTAATCTCTATAATCACATGTACACAAACACACACCTGGTACACCCACACACACGAACACTTGCTAACGTAACTCCGACCATTCGACAATAAAGTCAAAAAAGAAAGAAAAAGATGAAGAAATCACATTATATTCTCAGCTAAGTATTTCCTAATCAATACTAATTAACCGATAAGTATGTACATAGGTATTGTCTATGGTGTACGCGTCTAGTAAACATATTATATTAATTTCTTATCTCCATTATCAGTGATGATAAAACATCAGTGATATCTCGAGGGTACTCTATGGCGTGTGTAATTTGGTGTTTTTACGATTCGAAATCAGGTTGAAACGTGTTACAAATAAGAGGATAAATAATATATAATAAAAGTAATTGAATTGGCCTACGAGTGGCAATCATTATGCCGCTAGTCATGTCAGCTCATGGGCTAATAGGGAATATGCACATGACACCAAACTGGACAAAAATTTTTTATTTGTAATTTTTATTGCTAAAAAAAGATACCCATACAATTATTTTTGAAATTTATTATAATTTAATAGTGAAATTTAATCATCAAAAATTGGCTTTTTTAAGATTCCCTCGCAAATTTCTAAAACGCAACGCTATTGGTTGAATAAAACGTGACGTCAACCTACACTGTCAAAAGTGTCAACAAGTTGTGTGTATTTGTAATATTTGGTTTCTGGTGATTATTTGTTTCATTTTAAGTTAATAACTAATACGTTTTCAGTGTTAAATTATTAAATTCCCGTGTAGAAAGACTCAACACAATGACTGAATATACTTTGTCAGGTGCAGTTTTGATATTATTTGGGCACAAAGGAACGCCACAATATTTATAATAAGTTTTTATTGGCTTTTCCATGGTAATAAGTTAATTTTTATCACTCACTTTTTTAATTTTCACAAACTTTGTGAACTTCACTCCGTTGTTGACATCGAATTCGTCTGAAAGTGTAATCTGACGTCACAAAAAAAGCGCGCCAAAATGGACGTGTTCAAATTGCCCCAAAATGATAGTGATTTTAATAATTTTTTTTTGCTTAACGGTTTATATTTCGGATGTGTTATATTTATTTTTGGTAATGTAATAACTAGTAGAATCGTTTAAAAAAAAAAAATACATGCATATTCCCTATTGTCACAAGCGTCGACCAACATTTTCAGAGGCAGGCGTTAGGCGAAATTTTTCAATTCATAGCTTTGTCCCTGTGCCGGTAACAGATGGAAGGCAGTCTCGAGTTGCAGGTGTCCTGGGGCGACGGTAATCACTACTCATCAGCTGACTCGTCTGTCCGTTTGGCCCCCTTGTATTATATACATGGTAAAAAAATCAATTTTCCATACGCCAATTTACTTTCTCCCTTAGTTCCATCTATTTTCCTGATATTACATTTAACCATTAATTAAAATATAGTATTGGATATTGTATTCATGTGTTCCAGGTCCCTTTTCGAAAGAAGATTTAATCAATCCACTTGGCAAAGGGATTATTGGAGGCAGTCAGTGGAAAAAGATAGCGGAGACAAAGCCTCCGATATCAGGATTAACAATGAAATGAATTGTTACTAGTTTGGTGATGTATCATTTAGGATTTGGGTAATATTAACTCTTCTTTGTCTTTACATAAAACGTTGTGTTAAAGTTGATTTACGCGTCTATCTATATATCAGCTTACTCGTCCTAAACTACGCTTCAGATTTTGATAAGGTTTTCAATATCAGTTAACATCATCATCAGGTGAGTGACCATTTTTAAATTGGAGCTGGTTCATTTCAACTCTTTCATAGGCAATACTTACTAAGTCTAAAGTTAGCAAAATGAGTAATATAATAGTATATATCAATTTCGCTTAATTTTCCTATGTCATTCCTAAATAATAATAATAATATACATCTCACACGTAGTGTAGGACGCCCACAGGCCAGGTGGAGTGACGATTTGCGCAAGATGGCTGGCAGGAGCTGGATGCGAGAAGCCCAAAATTGATCTAAGTGGCGTGCAATGGGAGAGGCCTATGTCCAGAAGTGGACTGCGATAGGCTGATGATGATGATATCTCACACATCTCACACACGGCCGCCTGATCCCAAACCAGGCAGAGCCTGTGCTATGGTAACCAGACTGCTGAAAAACATACTTATAAATTTTTAAATACATACATATTATAGATAAATTACACCCAGACACAGAACAAATGACTATACTCATCTCAAAATATTTGTCCTGGGTGGGAACCGAAGCCACTACCTCCGGCTTAGCAGTCATGGTCACTAACAACTAGAGCAACAGGCCCGTCAAATAGGCCGGTTGATGACGGTAGGCTTGCCCACTCTGAGTGCCCACGAGCCCACGTGAGTGGGATTATACTTATGTTGTATTGTTTGTTATACTTATGTTATATTAAGCTATGATGCTGTGTATACGCATTTGTGATAAGAAAATTTTTTTATTATTATTATTCAAATTCATCATCCTCATGTACCGACCTTTTCTCGAATGTATTTGAGGTCGGTGCAATGAGCTTTCTTCTTCCATTCACCTTGATCACTCGACAACCTCTTTGTTTGTATGACAAATGAGACACAATGTGACAGACAGTCCTCTTTACAAAGGATGAAACGGCTGCCCACGTAATCTTGTAATGCGAGAGATTGACCACAAAACGGGCTAGTATCATACCTGACACAAAAGCGCTCTTAGAAGCCTGGGTCCAGGAGGCTTTTGTGCTTCTGAAAGAAACTGGATTGGTTCACCTAACCAATCTTTCCCCGATGCATAAAGGACAATTCTTAGGTTCTAAACTCATTGTGATGCATTCAGATGTAGAAACACGAGCCCACCACTACCAATACTGACTTTGAATAATATATACATGTACATAAGAAAACGAACGATCAAATTACCTTCCTAATAAGAAAACTAAATTCAAATCGCTTTTACGTGTAAAGAGAAACGGAGAAACTCACAAATACACACGTTTAATTAACGATAAAGACAAATATTTGCTCGGTGGATAAATAATGCATTATAAAAGTAATTAAATGGGCCCCGGTGTCTTGCAACAACAGTTGATGAACCTCCCTGACCTTAGGTAGATGTCACTGCGTATGCCGCAGTCACTGGCTCGGTCATAAATTATTTGATGGCATATGAAAGTTATACGTTTATTGATCTACAATTCTTAATAACTATTGGAGCGTAGATATTACGATTTCTATTATTGAGTGAATATGTTCGTCTAAGCTATTTCAAGCAGAAATCAATGTAATGGGTTTGGTTTCATTCTCATTTCAAATACGAGTAGACAGTCGATACAAATCCAAATATTGTGAGATAAGCACGGTCATTTGTTCTGTGTCTGGGTGTACTTCTCATCACGATATCTCTGGAACCATTAGAGCTAAAGACTTGAAATTTGGTAGGAATATTCTTTTCACCGAGTAGAGGTCAGCTAAGAACGGATTTTACGAAATTTAAAAAAAAAATTAATAATGTAAATAGCAAAACAACGTTTGCAGGGTCAGCTAGTATATACCTATATAAGAGATTTCCACGTATATAGTCACTCATCACGATATCTCTGGAACCATTAGAGATAAAGACTTGAAATTTGGTAGGAATATTCTTTTCACCGAGTAGAGGTCAGCTAAGAACGGATTTTACGAAATTTAAAAAAAATAATTAATAATGTAAATAGCAAAA